ACTATTATTTGTTTAGCTAATGTTCAATTGTTCAAATGTTCACATTCCGAACAAAATTAAGGTAGTATATGTTATGACTTTCGTCTTTTGTTTAGTTATTGTCAAAGAAGTGGTAATGAACAACAGATACTACCTCCAATACACATTATCATCACTTACAAAATGATGTTTCGAATAAAAAAAAAGTTAGTGAGTTTGAGGGAAATAATTAAATAGATTTCATTAAAAAAATAGAGTAGGCATATACGTTTTAGTTTGACCCACACATAAATTATTTAACAATAAATAATATACTACAGAATGTGTCTCATGCTAATTATGTGGCTCAGATTTAGGCTTTGTTTGGTTGGAGTGATTTGAGAGAGTGGAATTGAGAGAGTGGAAAAGGAGGGATTTGAAGAGAAATGGAGATGATTGAAAAGTGAAAGGAAAGTTTATGGGAAATTGTGAATGATTTGATTGATATGAGATATAAAAATTATAATTTTATGTTTATTATTTAAGAAAATTACCATTTTACCCTTTGTATCAAATAAGGTTCAAATGATTATAAATATAATTTTTTAATTAATTATCCATATTTTAACATTGATTATATATTTAAAAGAAAAAACAAATTTAAAAGTGTTTGTAATTGGAAACAAATTTAAAAAATTAACTTTTTTAAGATAGTTATTAAAAATTATATAAATAAACAATTACAAAATTATGTACATTGCATATCCATATTCAAATAATGTTGACATATTAAATAAATTATTTGACTAATAATTAAATAATTATAAAATATAAAATAATTATTAATATTGACTCGATAATAACAAATAATTATGAAAACTAATAATATAATTGTACATTATTATTTAAAACAAATATAAAATACAAGTGAAAATAGAATAATAATTAAAGGAAAGATTACTAAAATTATAAATCTATGCACACTAATGTTCTTCAAACAAATAATTATAATGTTATCCATCTTTTGTAGTCAAGTCCTCCAGGTTCAGATCATTCAATCACCTCCATTCAAGAACATGAACAACTGGGAGAGACGAATATGTGAGGGCAAGCCAAAAAGTCGTCTAACATGTGATGGGTGAGTACACAAATGATTATAACACTCGAAGCATAAGTTGCTCGTCATTTAGGTTCATGCCGACTAACATGTCCCATATATCTGACTCCGAATGTTGAAATGTTGATGATCGTCTCATCACATTAACTTGCTCATTAATTAATTCATTTATGCGTTCAATGGTGACCACCTGTCTTTCAGCTATGTCAGATAATCGTTGGGTGATTGTATTACCTTGCCCGAGGTAATCTGTAAATGTGTCCAACCTCGATGTTAGTTTTTCAAATTGACCTTCCATCACATCAACCATAGGCGCTTTTCTTTTGTGCCCCGAGATGAAGAGGTTCCACCCGAACCGATAGACGCGAGCAGATGGAATTGAGTGAGCACCCTCGCCAGGACTGTCGGAACCCATGCGTGGAGGTGATCGATAAGCTGTATCAAATCCTGCATCAAAGCCAAAGTGAAATGGTCTGCTCCTCCGGTGTGGGGTCCACATCAACGTTCAAGTCGATCGTTGCCCTTCGAGAACTGATATTCATTCGGGCCCGACGCGAAGTTCTTGCCATATGTCCACCGGCTCGATCAAGCACCCCACAATTCTTCCATCAAATCATAATGTCTTATAGTTGCCAGTTTCCATTTAGCTTGCAGAAGGCTTCGCCTACAAAATAATGAGAATGGTTAACACTCGTAATTGTTATGTTTTGCTATATCAACAAATGATAATTCATATAATAGTACCTTAATTAGGTCATCCCATACTTCTTGCTCAGCCACAAACCGTTTTGTCATATCATCCCAAGCGAATCCACTAAGTCCATGAAACAAATCGTGGACCTCCCGCCATCTATCCTTAAGACTTTTTTGTCGATTTTTAACATTATTTTTAGTTATACCAATTAATCCAGACTGTCTTAGGGATTCAACTATATTCTTATATGCTTGGGTTGTCCAACTACCATCAACCCGATTACCCAACCTTGCCTCATCAAGCATTTTAATCGATTAAAACACGTTTTAATCGATTAAAACCACTTTGGAAGTCAGGATGATCGATCAGAATGTACTTATGACCGATCAGAGTTGGTTATGATCGATCAGAATTGAATTATGACCGATCAGACTTATTTCAATCGATTAAAGCGAATTTCAATCGATTAAAATGACTTGAAAATTTTTGTACAGAGTTTAAATCGATTAAAACGCATTTCAATCGATTAAAATGACTTAGAAAAAATTCTGTGCAGGTTTTTAATCGATTAAAACTTCTTTGTATCAGTTAAAATAACTTGAAAAGTGTTATAAGAAAGTTTTAAACTGAATCAATCGATTAAACCGCGAATCAATCGATTAAATCACTCTTAGAAAATGTTTGTAAAAAGTTTTAACTGATAAAAACTTGGTCGTATCGGCTAAAACAATTTCGTTAAAGAACAAGAACGCATTAATGGGTTGAAAGGACTTTTAACAGATTATAACGGCTATTTCAACAGATTAAAACAAACTTTCAACAGATTAATTAATGCAGACTTTTTCGAAAACTCTTTTATAAACGAGAATTGCTTGGAACTTTTATCATATCAGCTTTTAAAAAAACAAAGCAATCAATTTAAGCAATCTGTTAGCATCCTTTTTCCAAGAAAGAATTACAAGCTGGAAGTTGGTTCTTGGTGGAAAGGTTGAGTGCAAGAACATGAACAACTGGGAGAGACGAAGATGTCCCATATATCTGACTCCGAATGTTGAAATGTTGACGATCGTCTCATCACATTAACTTGAGATAAAATAATTACAATATAATTTTCTACTTTGAGAATTAATAATATAATTAAACATCAAAATTGAGAATACTTTTATACATTTTGAACTCTTTTGGATAAATTTTGTTTCCCTAATTTTTGATAAAGTTAATTTTAATATTTAAATTTATTAGAGGTTAAGGTTTAACCTCTATTATAAGCTCCCTTTAAGAATGGTTCTTAAAGTGTTCCATCAACTCCCTGCTGCTTCTCAATTCCTGATTGAATCAGTGCCAGAGTCGGATTAAAGAAAGTAGAGTCGGATGTTATTGCCTTTGCCCCCACGCCAGCTTGCTCTCTAATCCCACTGCTGATTGGATTGAACTGAAAAAAGCGGAGCTTAGGTAGGCTACAACAACTCTCAAAGCGTGAGCTCATAAGCCGTATTTCGCTCGAGCGACTATATCTCGCTCGAGCGAAATACGATCCTGATCGATCATAAGTTGAAATGATCGATCATAATTGGAGGATATAATAGCGGTTCCTCTGTAACCGCTATCTAAAGTGTATATTAGATAGCGGTTCCAGTGGAACCGCTATCATATACAATCATATTTTAATTTCTTGAGTCTCGGGTTGTGTTTCGCTTGAGCGACTATATCTCGCTCGAGCGAAATATGATTCTGATCGATTAGATTTACGAAATGATCGATCATAATTGGAGGATCTAATAGCGGTTATGTTTTAACCGCTATTAGAAGTGATATATAATAGCGGTTATGTTTTAACCGCTATTAGAAGTGATATATAATAGTGGTTAAGTTTTAACCGCTATTAGAAGTGCTATTATAATAGCGGTTAAGATTTAACCGCTATCATATGGAAGAGGGTAACATTATTTCCAGCAGACTTTCACCTCTTTTCTTCGCAGATCAGCGAAGAAAGTCTCTCTCCCCTCTCCCCCTTTTCCTCGCCTGCATTTCTTCGCAAATCTGTTCAACCAAATGTGGATGAATCTCGTGCTTCTGTCTTCGTGAACAGTATTTTGTCGCAAATCAGTTCAAACAAACAGGGGCTTAGAGTAAGTTTGTAATCACACGCAGCTATGATTTGTCGTGGACAGAAATTATTTTTTCTTAATTAAAATTATTGTTGCGATATTCACGGATGCCACTTTATGTGTTAGAGTAATTTATATACAATTTTTTTCATTTAATTTATTAAAAATAAATTTGCGACAGATAGAATTAACATAATATTATAAGATTGAGACATTTATAATTATTTTCATGTTATTTATAATATAAAATATATCCTCAGTTATGCGTCTCGATTTCACTTTCTCGTGAACTTGATTGAGCATGAGATTTCACAGCTTATTAGGGTTGTTGTAATTTGCCGCGTTAAGGGTGAAGTAAAACTGATACATTAGTTTCTCTATCGCAAAAGTTTTAATCTTTTTACAAAATTCAATTTTTTTTTTCTTTTTCAATTTTGTTTCTTTAATAAGTTTTGCTTTTTGATCATCAATAAGTTTTTGTTTCGTATTGGTTCCCACAAAAAAATCAATAGATGCTCTAAATTGTTTGGTTCTGTTTTGTCTTTGTTTTTGTTTTATTATCAGAAGTATCAAATCACTCTTTTTTTTTCTGCACTAAATTATAAAGCAAAATTTACACATGGTGTCTGTGTTGAACCCTATATCCAAGTGTTCGTGTACCTAACTCTTCATATGTTATTTTCTCTCGCCATTTTCGTACAAAAAAGGCCATCCATTTTAATAATAACAAATACCAGCAATGGAGTAACACCATCAATGGCAGAGAGGCCATACCATAAAAAAAAAGAAAGAAAACATGATTCCCCCCACTTGGCCTCTGTTTTGGCACCGTATAGATGCTTCAAACCACACTTTAAGTGCGTCTAATCCTAGCCTTCAACATCAAAAACCCTCATACACACAACAACTAACACCCAAAAACCTAGTCATTGCAAATCATCACACATGATAGCCTCACAAATAATGTCCACTGCAAATCCATTCAATTATTACTCTTTTTCCTTTCCACACCCTTTTCTTGCAATCTAAGTTTTTTCTTCCTTTTCCTCTCTCCTTTTTTTCTTTCATGTTTTACCAATTTATACCCCCTGCACAAACTCCCATTAGGTGAGAAGAAGAAACGATGACCTCAGTGTGCATGTCGAACTGCATCAACGATGCACGCGACCCGCGTGTTCCGGTGAGGGCAACGTACGTGAACCTGTACAAGTGGCCGGAATCGGATGCTGAGTTTGTGAGGTCAGTGAGTTGCAACAGAGGAAAGGGTTCCCAAGTGTACGGACACCCCAGGGTGGTGGACAGTATCTCCTGCAGGCAGATGTATCTTCGAAGCTACACATTCTCCAGGGAAGAAGAGAACGAGGCTGAGAAACCACACAAATGCTTTGGCATGAAGAAGAAGAAGAAGGAGAAACACGATAACAGCACAAAGCCCGAGACTGGGAAAAGAAAGTGCTTGGTTTGGAGTAAGGCTAAGGAGATATCGTGTTCTGCTTTGTCTAGGATTTTCCGAAGGGTCTTGTCCTGCTCCGCTAGTGTAGATGTTGTTGACGATAAATATTGATTTTTATTTTTTAATCAAGGTTTGATTTTTCGGTTTCTATATATATTGTTTTTGTTCCTATTTATTATGATGCAGAGAGAAGAATTTGTTAGTTCTATAGCACTCTACATACTTTCACTTTGGTTTCTTTGATTCACTTTGTACAAGAGTGTGTGAATTCTCGTACGGATGTAAAAATTGTGTCTTGTAGAAAAAGGTTTATGTTTGTGTTGGTAATGGTGTCTTATGTCAGGTGTAAGAAGTTGAAGAAGAAGTCAACTTTATTTTGGTAAGAAAAACATAATTTTCCTTCCACGCTTCACGGTGTTCACGCTAGTTTTCTCCCTTCAAGCGTTAAGAAAAGAAGTCCCTTTTTCCATAATAGTACTTATATAGTAATTATGTTATGTTATTTTATTTTATAAAAAGAACATTATTATTTATTTTTTACATTTAGATGTATTATAATTTATTCTGTAATAAATACTATTGTTTCTTTTTCTCATTTTTTATTTTAATTATCAATTTTTATATTCTTAACCTGATTCCTAACATCAAGCATAGCAAATTGATATTTTTATTTTATTTTTTCCTTCATTTTCTAAAACCTACAAATCTAAAAACCACCAATTTATAAAAAAAAATGGAAAATACTCCTTTTTTTTTCAGTCTCGTAACCTTTTACGGTCTTCTGCATCAGCACGCCACACGTTTCATGCAGGTTTTAGAGACCACTATATTTTCGATTATTTCAAGAGTCAACCAAAAAAAAATTGTTTAGTGGTATATATGGTATGATTTGATAGTTATCATAATTTTCATAGTTTTGTTTTTTTCTCTTGTGAATTAATTTTAAGGCTAAATATAATGTATAATTTTTATTTTTATTGTTAAAAATCAATTTAACTGACTATTGTAAGTTGGGAGAATAAATTAAGTATTGGCTTCTATACATTATTTTTAAATAGAATTTTAGTTTTTTTTTTTATAAGGAGAGAGAATTTTAGGTTAGTTGAAAAATTTAAGATCTATTATTAGAGAGTGATTGATTTAGTGAGATAATTTACTTTTCAAATGGTGAATTTATATATTCTCCATTCAGAACTCTATCAAGGAGGAGTAGTTAATGAATTTAAATACATAAGAATAGAAGGATAAAATAAACAATTTTTAGATATATTATAATGATTTTAACAAAATCAAAATTACATATGCTTTTAAATATATATATCGTTTGTAGATTTTGTTTTATTATTGATTAGATGTTAAATTAGACTTATCTAAGATACTGTTTATCTTGATTTGAAATGTTTATTTTCTAATTGTAATTATTTGAAGAGGGTTTTGCTTGTTTTACATACTTTGCCTCGTTTGTTATACACCACACTTCAAAATGTTGCTTGCGAAAAGGAAGTCCTACTTATTATTCAGTTGGGGCTAAAAAATAGAATAATCTTTGGGTGTGTCATATACACAATAAATTAAAAGCTTGCAATAAAATTAAGACTATGTTTTGTAAGTTTTATTATTATTTTAGTCGAACATAAGCGTTTAAATAATTGATGGTACCAACAATTTGAGAATTATCCATATTGGGAAAATTATGAAGTTATTACTTAAAATTTACTGGGAATAATATATCTTAAGAAAAGTTGGTAACTTTATATATTACCGAGGACAAGTTTTATTCTCTGACCCACAAAGATAAGAAGGGTTTGTTTCCACTAATTTACGAATTAATGCTCCTAAGAATATATTGTACTTGGAAAATATTTTTATCCCTTTCTACTCAACATGAACAACTTTTATTCTCTTGTCATTTTCTCAAACATATTAAAACCTGAAATTTCTACCACAAAAAGCAAAGAATATCATCATAAGCCTCGTTTTTCAATTCTACCCATTGAAATAAAGTGGATGTCAAAACCAACCATATTATGTATATATTTCTTTTCAGTGAGATGCATCGAAGATGGACTTATATTCTCTTTAACTATAAACAAATGTAATATACTATCTAAGAAAATGTATGATATACCATTTCAAAAAAGTGAACTTACATGTATTGGGATAACTCCAGAAATTAAATTATTTCAATCATTGATTATAATCAAAATAAGATTTGTTTAGTTAAGTTTGTCGAAAATGGTTTTAAGATGATCAAAATTTGATGAAAGAAACTTTTACGTTATTATCGAAGTTTAAAAGGACAAAAACAGTTAAAAAAATATTTTTAAGTTTTTTTTTTTTTTTTTAATTTCAGCTATTGTCTCAAACGTACCACTAAAATTATAGATTTTTTTTAAAACCTAAAATCAATTTAAATATTTTGAAACTAAATGCTCATAAAATGAAAATATAATATATTAATGCTTATGTTAAAATTAATGACAGTTAAAAATATTATAATGACTATTAGAATTAATACAGATTGATAGTAGTTGGATTTAAATATAATTTACGAATTATACGGACGTGAGATCATGAGATTAATTCTTATAAAAATATTTATCTATTTTTAATACTAAGTTAGTATCAGAGTGGATTAATCTTGCTCTGTTAGTCTCAATCACGACAGAGTTGAAAGTCTGACCACTCGTCTTCTTCGTGTTCCTACTTTTCAAAGTCGTCACCGGTTGTCGCCTTTGACCACTAGCTGCTGCCTTTGATCGTCGGCTGCCAACACCATATGCCGCCATCATTGTCGCCCATCGTCGTTATATCTCTTCATTATTCATGCAGTCTCCTATAAAAACTCCAACAAACATGTCTTCTAGACCTGTTATCTCTTTCTCAGGCACTCCTACCATCACTTATGAGAATTGAGAAATTGAATGAAAAAAAAAAATTATCTCTCTTGGTTTGCTTCCGTTGAAATGTGGTTCCTTCGCCAATGTATCTATGGCCACTTTGAACAAGATGCACGTACGGTGCCTCTGATAAAGCTAAATAGTGGAAGAGAATTGATTTTCAACTCTGGCTGTATGCGGAACTCAAATTATTGGGTACTCTTAAATCATTTAAAACTTGTGACTCCTTTTGGAAAAAGATTCAGAATATCTTTGCAAATGATCATGATATGATATCTTTTACGAGTGAAGCTCAATCTGCTGTTCAAGAGTTAAAAATGTTCTTGAGAGTGGACTCATTAGAAGAAACCAAGAATAAATTAGATAAATTTTATATGGTGATGATACTTCGTACCATGCATCCTGACTTTGAACATGTTAGAGATCAACTTCCAACAAGACATGAAATCTCATCAATAGAAAGTCTGACAACTCGCCTTCTTCGTATTCCTACTTTTAAAAGTAAAAATGCTCATGAACCTATGGAATCTTTTGTCATGGTTTCGGTAGTCGAGTTCGACCTCAATGCTCATATTTTAAAAGAATAAGTCTAGTTCAAGAGAATTGTTTCGTTTTGCATGGTTTTCTTACAAGTTTGCCCATATCTCTAAAACTGATGTTGCTGAGCCAAAATTTTCTAATGAAGAATATCAAGAGTATCTAAGATTGAAATCCAAAAGCTTGACACAATCATTTTCAACTCCTAGTTCGTCGACAACTTACATCTCATAATCTGTAGAAAGTCAAAATTCATGATCATTGACTCAGGTGCGTCTAATCACATTTCTGATAATACATCCTTGTTCTCATTTTTATCCTTTCCGAAAAGTCATCATTTCATAACTTTAGCTAATGGTTCTAAAGTTGCATCCTAAGGAGTCGGTCAAGTCTCTCTTTCTCCTTTTTTTAAATTTAAAATATGTTCTTTTTGTTTCTTCTTGTCCCTTCAATCTTATTTCATTAAATCAATTAACCAATCAAGTCATTCAATTGTTCAATAACCTTTGATACTGATTCTTTTGTTGTCATACAATAATGTGGTATGGGGCGTCAGATTGGAGAAAGACATGAATATGGAGGTTTATATTATTTTGGAGTTAAGTCACATGTGGCATGTTTTGCATCCCAAAAACTATTACATAATTGGTTGGGTCATCCTTACTTATCAAAATTAAAAAAATGAGTCCCTAAAATTAGTAATATTCAAACTTTAGAATGTGAGTCATGCCAACTAGAAAAATATGTTAGAACTTCTTTTTGAACAAAATTTGAATCAAGATGTAATTCTATTTTCTCTATTATCCATTCAAATATTTGGGGTCTAAGTCATGTCTCATCTTTTAGGTTTAAGTATTTTGTCACATTTATTTGATGAATATTCCATGTATACTTGGGTGTATTTGATGAAAGATCGTTATGAACTGTTATCCATCTTTACCTCTCTTTAAATGAAGTTAAAAATTAATTTAGTAAAGTGATTAAAATTCCCAGAAGTGACAATGCCAAATAATACATCTCTTCTAATTTCTATGCACTTTTAAGTTCACATGACATTTTACATCAATCTACTTGTCCCCACACTCCTCAGCTTATTGATTGGTGCTCACTTTGGGGTGATGATATCCTAACTACTTGTTTTGTTATTAATAAAATGTCATTCTCCTCTCTTAGCAATAAGATCCCATATCTCATTCTTTTCCCAAATGACCCTCTCTTCCATGTTTCTCCTCGTGTGTTTAGTTGTGTCTGTTTTGTTCATGACATGTCTCCCGAATTAGATAAATTATATGACCTTGTTGTTAAAAGTATATTATTGGATTATTCTAGGCTTCACAAAAGATATCAGTGTTATTCTCCTAAAACCAAGAAGTACTACATGTCTATCAGGGTCACATTCTTTGAACAAACTCCTTATTTTTCTTCATCTTTTCCAGATATCCTTTCCATCCAGGAGGTCTTACCTATACTTACAATTGAGTTCATTATTCCTAGTAAGTTTGACAATCCAAATCCTAGTTCAATTAATCCTAAACCATCGTCACCTCTCACACCTAGCCCCATGCTCCAAGATCATTCATCTTCTTCAAGTTCTTCTCAATCAACAATCCATACCACGACTCTTGATACTGATAATTAAACTTGGCCCATTGTCATCAGAAAAGATATTCGTTTTACACACAACCCTCATCCTATTTATAATTTTTTGAGTTATCATAAGGTATCTCCTTTCTATTGTTCTTTTCTATCTTTAGTATCTTTTATTTCTATTCCAAAAAATATGTTGAAGCACTAAAGCATCCTGGATAACAACAAGGTACATTACCGAGATGCAAGCTCTTGACTAGAATCACATATGGGAGTTAGTGCCTCTTCCACCTGGAAAGAAGATAGTTGGATGTCGATGGGTTTATGCCATTAAAGTTGGCCCCAACTGTGAGATTGATCGTCTCAAGACATGATTAGTTGCAAAAGGATACACACAAATTTATGACATTGACTACAATGATACTTTTTCACTAGTTGCCAAAATGACTACTATTTATCTTTTCTTTGTCATGATTGTTATTCATCATTGTCTTTTCATCAGCTGGATATTAAAAACGCATTTCTTCACAACGATTTAGAGGAAGAAGTGTACATGGAGCAACCTCCTGATTTTGTTGCTCAGGGGAATCTAGATTGGTGTATAAGTTACGTCATTCTCTATGGTCCCAAACAATCACCACGTGCTTGGTTTGGGAAGTTTAGTCACATTGTTCAAACTTTTGGCCTAAAATGTAGTGAAACTCATTATTCAATTTTTAATGTCACACCTCCCCTAAGAAATATTTTTACTTGATTATATATGTTGATGATATCGTGATTACAGAATATGATGTTGCCATAATATCTCAACTAAAATAACACTTGTGTAATTACTTTCAAACTAAGGATCTTGGAAGCCTAAAATATTTCTTGGGGATTGAAGTAGCTTAGTCAAAAGAAGGAGTTATTATCTCTGAAAAAAAGTATGCCTTAGATATTCTAAAGGAAACAAACATGATTGACAGTAGACCAGTAGATAGTCTCATGAACCCAAATCAAAAGCTAATGACAAAACATGATAAATTGTTCTGTGATCTAGAAAGGTATAGAAGACTGGTTGGGAAATTTATTTATCTGACTACCAATAGACCTGATCTGTCATTTGCAGTGGGTGTTGTAAGTCAGTTTATACAAGCTTCTTGTATTGACTATTGAAATGCTATTATTCGAATTTTAAGGTATCTCAAAAAGGCCCCAAGACAAAGTTTATTATAAGATAAAGGAGATTCCAAAATCTCTGAATATTGTGATGCTGATTGGTTAGGATCCCCCATTGACAGACGTTCTACTACAAAATATTGTGTTTTTCTTAGAGGAAATATTATTTCTTGGAAAAGTAATAAACAAAATGTAGTAAGTCAATCTACTGCAGAAGTTGAATACAAGACAATGATTTCTCTAACTTGTGAACTTATATGGGTGAAACAATTCCTTTAAGAACTCAACTTCTGTAATATCTAGACAATGAAAATGTATTGTGATAACCAAATTTTTCTCCATATTACCGCTAATCCAGTATTTGATTAAAGAACTAAGCATATAAAGATTTTCTATCATTTTATTTGAGAGAAGTTATTGTTAAAAGAGATATATAAAGAGTATGTTACTTCTAATGATTGATTTGCAAATGTGTTAACCAAATATATAGGTGATTATTAGAAATATTACATGTGAATGTTAGAATTGATACATATTGGTAGTAATTGGATTTAAATATAATTTATGAGTTATACCTAACTGAATCTATCTATATAAGATGACCAGAGTGGTGTGATTAACCCATCTTCTTTTTAATTTTAAGTACTTATTTACTTAAACATGTATCGTAACCACTTTTATAAAATTCAAATGTAAATACATTTTCCGTGGAAGGTCATTTAAGAGGGAGGTGTAAAAGGAAAAATGTTTTAATAAAAAGGGCGTACGATAAAATGTTGCAATCCAAGGGCTAGTATGAGCACATGATAAGGTGGTCGACCAAGAATTATTATTGTTTGTACTTTTCATAAGAAAATTTAAGAGCTGTCTAAAAAGTTTAAAAACAATTAGGGGACAATTTTTTCACTTTTATTTTCTATTTTGCACACATTAAGTGAAACTATTTCAACATTAATGTTCTAAGGCACAAATCTTGTTATACATCGGATACATGGGAGCTGGCAATATTAGTGTGCCATATGCAGAAACCACCCAATTACCACAAGCTGTCAACGACCAACCAATTAGACCTAAATGACTTCTTAAAAAAAGAATGATTGGTAATATTATGGAACACTCAAAGTCCCTAATACAGTGAGACATTCACATAAGCAAAATCACTCTAAACACTTTTTCTTACTAGGGAAAAGTCCTTTTCCAGTGAACTCATTAAACGGGGGAGAATCACGTTATGTCAAACTACAGACTCTTCAACCATCAACTGCTAAAGAGGATCAACATTTATAGAAGATGAAGTTTTTTAAAAACTAAGCATAACAAAATAGCAAAACAAACATATAATCAGGTGATATGATTAACAATAAAATGCCCTACTCGTGCATCTCTTGTTCGCCAAGATTTAAGTTGTTTTTTCATAAAATATGTGGAGCCTGATCTTGGCTGTTGAAGAACCAATCACAGGCAATTCAAAAAATGCTCTATCCAAAAAGCACAACACCTACTAAAGCCTAATTGCATTATTTGAAAAGATAAATTTCAAGACTACATCAAAAGTAACGCACATTGTTAGTTTTAGGAGGATAGGTTCAATACATTTTTTTCCTTTTTGTTTTCTTCTCCTTCAGGTATTTTCGAATAGTGTATCCAATATTCGAGTCAGGGTCTTCGTACCTAAAAACTAAATAAAAAACATTACTAATTATGATAGGAACACCTTAATGTATAAATATAACATGATATAATTGCACACAAATGCGTAATATCAAGTAAAGCAACAATATTATACGACAATGAAAAATTTGGATCAAGTAAGAAACTAATGAATGAATTGACAAATGTACAGCACCTGTTCCCGCCATATCTGAAGGAGAAAAATCCAAGAATGATCAATCAATAAAAGATCTCGGCAGTACAACTTCTCAAAATCACGTATATCTTGAAATGGACAAAAGGAAGTAGAAAACATTTTCTATGCCGCGAAATTCATCATCATCAACGCTAACCAAGAAAAAAAAATAATCTAAACATAGAGGCAGTATTCCCCGTGGAAACTTCTGCGAGCAGAAGGTTGAAAGGTGTATAGTAAAAAAAGGAGAAAATGGAAGCACGTGAACAGCCAGCCAAATTCCATAAACAAGATCTTCAAAGCTCAAACTCTTCATCCTTGAGAGCAAGCTCTGCAGCCTCCTCCTCCTCCTCATCAAGCACAAAGTACTCATTCTTCTCCACAGGTCTAAACATATAGAACATCACAATATAAAACGCAAGACTTGCGGTTTCCTCCGCAGCATTACTCACCCATTGGAACTTATAAGCCGCAATAGTCCTCAACGCAAACACCACTATCCTCGTGAAATACAAGTACCCAATAACAACAATATAAAACTGCCTGAAAAGCGTTAACTTGGCCAAATTCCTCGACGCCTTCCCATCGGTTTTGGAGGTCTCTCTCAGCGACCTTATAGACCAAACAATTGGGAAAATAATAGCACAACAGCAGATAATATCCACAAGCAAAAACACCTGATTCCATGTAACCCAGTCTTTGATAAAAGGCCCGGTTTCACCAATCACAACGGAAGCCAAGTTAGCGAGAACCTGAAGCGGGATCACAATCATCAACACCTTCTTCTCCCTGTCCTGCAAAAATGGTTTCAGAAAAGACCATCCCGTCCCTATCAAAACGATGACGGTGAAGAGCAAAACGACGCGGATAAACTGAAATATATAAAACAACACGTCCCAGCCGTGAGGGAGGCCGGTGACTTTGACGTAATGCTTATCCTCGGCGGCACAGATTAGATTCAAAGCCTTCATGAGGAGCAAGAGCGCCATGAGGATGTGAATGCGGTGAAAGGAGCGTTTGTTGGTGTAGCAGAGGTAGAGCCAGAATGAGAAGAAGGCGAGGTAGGCTATTGAGAAGAGGAAGAAGAGGGAAGGGAGCTGGGTCTGACCGGCGGAGAGGTAGTCGCGGGAACCGTCGGAGTCGAGATTGTAGGCCTCGGTGTGGACAACCATGGTGATGGAGGTTTCCGGAGCGCAGTTGGCGAAGAAGAGGCTGTACTCGTTAGGGTTGGTGACCGGGTATGAGCCGTTGAATGAGGCGACAGGGGGAGGGGAGAGGTCGCGGAATGTGAAGAGGAGGAAGATGTAGCGGGAGTCGAGGACGCAGAAGGAAGGGTTCTGTTGGATCTCCATAAGGACTTGGAGGAGAGACTCTTCGTTCAAGAGGAAGAATCCCAACCGCGAGGATTCCGGCTGCACCGCCGAGGAGAGGACGCCGACGGAGACCGAGGAGACGGCAATGGACACGTGGCCTTTGTGCGTGAAGCCAAATTTCTCGAACAGGATCATGGGGCGGGTGTCGGAGCTTATGGTGAGGGACTTTATCTCCGCCGCGGAGGGGGAGAGGAGGAAGAGGAGGAGGAGCAGGGAGAATGCCGCTCGCGTTTCGGCCATGGCCATTGCTCTGGTTTGGTTCAGAATGTGTGCGAATCCGATCTCAACACATTATCATATTCGTAGATCTGAATCTGGTTGTGAACCCCTTCTTCTCCACGACGATGACTTGCCACCTACGCGGAGGTAACACATTCCATGGGCCTACAACTGACTACAACTGTTTTCTTATTCAAGCCCAACACCGTCCTTATCCTCTTTTGGCCCATTACTTCGTTCTTCATTCCATCGGTCATGGGTCTGGCCCATAAACTAGTAATGTAGTAAATTGTGATAGATCTGTTTTAGATTTTCTATGACAGTGTTTGTTGTTCTTTTCTTTCTTTGTATTTTTGGCAAAGTTTATTTGATTTTTTTTTCCCTAAAAATAATGAACTACAAAACATGTGGATTCAAAGTTAGAGTGGAATCAACACGCTAGCAGCCACCATATTTTACCTTAACGTGTATCTGTAATTGACGAAACAGAGAAGAAAAGTCACAGGAAGAAAAACTTTTTATTTGAAATGTATGAAAAAAATGAAAATACGTAAATAATTAAATAATAATGGAAAATAATTTGTTTATTTGAAGCGAAATAAAGTAGAAAAAAAGGAGAGAAAAAGAGTAGAGAATTTAAATCATTGTGGGTTTGTTTTAAAAGAAAATAAGAGAATTTATGAAAAATAACTCCTATATTCCTCTCACATTCAATTAATCCAAATTCACCATCACTGTTACCAGTAATTTTCTTTTTGAAATTATATTCTTCATATATTTTTTAAATTATCTTCACCTATAAACTTCCTGTCTGTCGGTTAAACATATCAATTGTGTATATTTATTGTATTAATAGATTATGTTAAATGGTAGAGATAATTTTTCTTCTCACATCTATTATTTCTTGTTCGATTTAATTAAATTTATATTTAATTAAGTGATGAAATATTTAAATATTATAAAGGTTCGTTTTATACCAATCTTTTGATACATAAAATATAATATATCTTAATTAAATATTGGTCACATACAATTTTTAATATGATTTAAAATATTTAAAATAAATTATTAGAATAATAGAAAATAATAAAAATAAATTTACGAATAAAAAGTAAATGAAAGAAATTGAAAAAAAAACTAATGTGATAATTCAAAAAGTTTGTTAAAATATAATTTTTTTTACGATTTCATAATCACTCTTTTTATATTTATTTTATTTTATTTATATTTTATTTGCATGTAACTATTGAAATAAAACTACCTAAATAAATAAAATTAAAATTAAAATAAAGTATAGTCAAATAAAATAAATAAATAAAAATCTATAAATAATTACTTTATTATAACTATTTTTTTCTTTCGATCCAAATTATCACCCCCTATTATTAATATGTATGCGTCATAACGAGATAATAATTATGTTTGAATATCTCTTGATTAGCTTGTTTCTTCTCAATATTTCATCTTTATTTTATTTTTTTATGGTTAGTTTCGTAGTCTTCAATAATTTAACTTTCAATACTAGATTAATTATACCTATAATATTTTATTTTTTAATATATTCCTCAACCCTTTTTTCAATTAATTATATTCTTTTGACACTTTTTCATTATCTGCTACATTTACTTTCAATCCAATAAATCATATTAAATTCACTTTTTCTCACTTTTTCGTTTAATTAATATTCATCACCAACTTCTCTACATTTCTTATTATCAATATAATTTTCTAATATATTTTTTCCATTTATCAATTCACATCTTTCCATACATTTATAATTTTACCATTAATACCTACCAACCTCTCAGTTTAATATATCTAAGTGTATATATATATATATATATATATATATATATATATATATATATATATATATATTTCTAAAATCAAAATATTTATTATCCTTGATTTTTTTTTCACGTTTATTAGATAAGAAATGTTTGTTTTTTAAATTATAAACAACATACTCATAAAAATTACACTTTTTAGTATGGGTTTTCATCTGAACAATTTTTCTTATGAGTTATTTAGTGATAATATAATATAGCAGTAACAATAATTTATATTTTTTAATGTACAAAATAACTCACAATTATATATGTTTAAATAAATAAATTGTATATATTTATTGCACAAATCATTATATTAACTGTCGTGTTTGAGATTATTTGATGACTAATTTACTCATTGTTTTGTTATTAATATTTACAAGATTACAACTCAAGAAATGAAAAGTGCATTAAATATTACCGCTCTCCAGGAAGTTTATATCATACTCCAAAATTTTCGCAGTTTTACCTTAATTAGATAACTGAATAAGTTGGTTGTATTTAAGAAATAACCTAAAAACTTCACATAAGAATTATAAAAACCTTTTTGGTTGCGCAATTTTTCCAAATTATTTATATATCATATTTTTTGAAATTTATATAACTCGTCACGCTAAATAAGTCAAAGATTTCCTCAGGATAAACTACATTCTTTAAATGCGACTTCACGATTATGATATTGGATGAGATGATTTGTTGTTGTTATTACATAAAAACTATTCTGATAATTCTTAAATAATTTTGGAATAAGATTAAGGATAAAAATAAAGAGATATTTTAATTTTAATTTAATATTTATTTAATTTCGGGACGAAAATAGTCCACCACACGTTCAATCGTTAAACACGACACGGGACAGTTTAGTTCTTAGAAGTTCTTATAAACATGAATTTGTCGTGAAAAACAGTATCGATATCCAACGGCAACTAACTAGTATGAAATGGCGGAAGAGTCCTCACTCGGTGAGTAGTCTGGGTTGGCACGATTTATTTAATGCTCTGCTTTGTAGTCACTGTTCAAACTTCCCAATACCTGATTTTTCTCTCTTTATCCATTCCTTCCTATCAAAACAATTAAAATAAACCGAATGAAAAGTCTTCACTTGGAAACCCCCAAGAAAATTACCCAACAGCATTCAACTCACTGCAAGAATCTCAAGAAACCTTCTTGCTAAAACCACAGAAATCGCCTTCAATTTTAAGCTTTCTTGTTGGTTTCTCAATTTGTAAGTCTCGCTGCCTTTTTTCTTTCTTTCTTGAACTTGTTTTGCTATTTTCAAATGTTGAAATTTTGTGGCTTTCATCACCTTGATTGTCATTCTTTCTGTTGATTTTGTCGAGTGCCACGCAGTGCTGTTGTTGAACAAGAATTTGAAGTAACGGGAAAGAAACCGAGAAATTAGGATAATCTTGGGTTAGGTGGGTTGGTGAGTAATTTAAGTATATGGTTGTATCAACCTATTGTGATTGAAAGCAGGATCAGTCTTAAGCAATTTGAGGTCTGAGTTTTGGGCCTCCCAAAATTCTAGAGATTTGGTCATTGGTTGCTGATAAGAATGAATGTGGTGGGCAAAGTTGGAAGCTTGATAACCCAAGGTGTTTATTCAGTTGCTACTCCTTTTCATCCCTTTGGTGGGGCGGTTGATGTCATTGTTGTTCAGCAGCCAGATGGCACGTTTCGGTGCACGCCGTGGTATGTTCGCTTTGGAAAGTTTCAAGGTGTGCTCAAAGGTGCTGAAAAGGTTGTTCGGATAAACGTCAATGGGGTTGAAGCACACTTCCACATGTATCTTGACAATTCGGGAGAGGCTTATTTTGTAAAAGAGGTGGATGATGAAGGTAGTGATAAAGGAATAAAGTCAAATGGAACTGCTGATAATTCTGAGTTTAGTCAAGAAGATGGTGGTGTTGAAATTGATCAAAAAAATAATACTCATCTGAGCATGGATGATACACTTGGTCATAGACTTGACCATAGCATATCTGATTCAAGGGTTCCTTATCTCGTGGGTGAAGGCCATTCCTCGGTTTTGTCACAACTTCAAAGGGCAGAATCTGATGTTGATAGGAGATTTTATGAATTCTCAGATGATCAATCCTCTTTCGAAGGTTCACTTGATGTTTCAGAATATGAGTCTAGTCGATATGAGAATCTAGATGTGGAGAATATGGACCCACAGGGTTCCCATCCGGAGGTGGTCTTGGTTAGTGTTGATGGTCATGTATTGACGGCTCCTATCTCAGAATCAGAGCAGAATGAGGACAATGTGCAGTTAAAAAATCCTCAATTTCATTTAGGCCCAGGTGAAGGGACTGACTTCTATGAAGATAATGGTGAACTTATTTCTGATGAAAATGCTTGGACTGCTGATTATGTTAGTCCACTGGATGCTTCAACGGATGATGTTTCTGCTAGTAGTTATGACACTAAGGTTGGTGATGATACTTCTGGGCTCCTGTTGGAAACTCAAAGAAAGGAGGAAAAAAATTGTTGGACTAAGGAAACCATAGTGATTAAAAGTCAAGAAGATCATCATTTGCACACTGATTCAGAAGACGTTGTATCTTGTATAAAGACAGAGAGTGTCTTAACAAATTGTTTGGAATTACACCAGTTTGCTCAGCAGGCTGGAAATGCTGATTTACAAAATGTGGGTTCTTCATTGGAGGATCGAAATTCAGCAGAGGAATCTAATGCAAACTGTTCAATTACTGATGAAAACGGACAAGAAAACATTCCGGCTGATTCACAAGGGGTAGGGTCTTTGCTGGAGGGTAGAAATTCAGCAGAGGAATCCAATGCAAATGGTTCAATTACTGATAGTTGTGAACAAGAAAACATCAAACAATGTAGAAAAATTAATGGGTTATATCCCCTTAGTGGACTTTCTTCCTTGGATGACCATAGTTCTCCAGAATTAGAAGTAGAACCTGGAGAGGTTGATAAAGATGCATCAGTAGAAGTTGACACTGGTTCTGGCAGTCATTCTGGTATTAAGGATATTATTGAATGTAATGGTGAACATGTTGGAGAGTCAGTATCAAATGGTCACGTAGTTGATAGTCAACTAAGTTCTGCACTTGAAGATGCCTGTAAGAATAGTGAACTAACTGAACCTCAAACAGCAACTTCCGAAGAGGGGGACCAAAGTCATTCTGCTTTAAGTAATAACTAAAACTGCGCTTCAAATTAGTTTATATGATGCAATTAAATTATTTATTTATTTCTTGAAATATGTGCAGGATTTGAGGCCTCACTTTGTGGTCATGAACTTAAGGTGGGTATGGGTTTGGAAGCTGCTGCTAAGGTTTTTGAAGCGCATCGTATATCTGCAGAGGAATTTAGAAGGTCTGCACCATCCATAATTAAGAATGACAATCTAGTTCTGAAGTCCAGAGAGATGTATCTGCGGTGGGAAAAGGCTGCTCCCCTTGTCCTTGGAATGACTGTATTTGGTTTAGACTTACCTGTTGATCCCAAAGATACAATTCTGGTGGGACAGGATGACACAGTGAAGACTACAAATGAAGATCCTGGGTCAGCTTCTCGCAGATGGAGACTTTGGCCTATTCCTTTTCGAAGAGTCAAGACAATTGAGCACACTGATAGTTCATCAAAAGAGGATGTATTTGTAGATTCTGCGTCTGATTGGCAGACTTCTGGTGTCGAACCATCTCCAACATCTACTAGGCATGAGTCTCCTCGCAAGCAATTCGTGAGGACAAATGTTCCCTCAAATGAGATGATCGCGTCCTTAAATCTCAAGGATGGTCAGAATTTGGTAACCTTCAGTTTCTCTTCCAGGGTTCTTGGAAAACAGCAGGTTGATGCTCATATTTACTTATGGAAGTGGAATGCAAGAATTGTAATTTCAGATGTAGATGGAACTATTACCAAGTAAGAGTAGTGATGGTATTTCTTATGCTATTTATTTTCTTTTGTTAACTCATTACAATATTTCTGTTCCCTGCTTTGGACATTGTTTTTTGTGAAATCTGAGTACTGATCTATTGATAGTTCTGGTAATAATTGATGATCCTGGATCTTATAGATGAAATAATATATGAAAATGAATGCTTGTTCTGTTTTATATAGTTTATTGTACAGGGTTAGGCTTTGAGTAGTCTTATGGCACATTAACATAATTTTTATTCAGATTGTCGGGTTGGTCACCACCTTCTATCATTTGTGTGCATACAATATTAAGGAAACCCTTTTAGTAAATCTTGAAATGAATTGTCATATGTGTTCTTTTGTCTTTAACTTTTTCCAGTGATGTTCACTAACTACTCTGAGATTTATTATTTGTATTATTAGGTTGTTTTCACATTAATGTGTAATAGTTGGCTTTGAAAAAATTATCTACACATGAATACTTTTGCTGTTATGGGAAGATAAGCACGTTCGGTGTATTAATGAGTTCTACGCTGACTGCCAAAGGTTTAACTGTCCTTTTCCCTGGCTATAAAACCATAGGCAGAGTTTATGGCTAGCTATTAAGCTGAAATAAGAAAAAAATTGCAGCAAGAATAGAGGACGGAGTTGCATTATTATGATATTGGTTTCAAATTCATATCAACACCTTTGTGCTTTACTATTTTCTTCCTTTCAGATCTGACGTTTTGGGGCAGGTCATGCCTTTAGTTGGCAGAGATTGGACACAGTCTGGAGTTGCAAGGCTTTTCTCAGCTATTAAAGTATGTACATTTCTTTTACATGTACATCTATGTTTTTGTCAACTGAGATGGAGTAGGATTGTTAATGTCAACAGTTAATGAGAAAAGTGACAACAGATCTTTCAAAGGTCTTTCTGTAATAGGCATCCTTTGTAGTGGGGATGTAATCAAATATATGTTTTGTTTTTGCTGCCATTTATGAATGTTTATGCAACTCCCTCCTCAGTCTTAAGTTTTGCATGATTCTCAAATTAGTCGTTTGAATTTTGCAATGATATTTTTGAGTTTTGACATTAGAGAAAAGGAAAAGAAAGTTTAGTTCCCAAGTAACTTCTATTTACTTAATCAGTGTTGTAATTTAAGGATGAGATGAACTATACACTGAGTGCTAGTTGCATCCGGATTGGTTTTTGCGAGCACTTTAGGGAGATGTTATGCTAATATATACATACACACACATATGAACTGAACCAAGTTCATATGAACTTATGTTTGAGCTTGTTTAGCAAGTGAGCCTCAAGCCTGGTCAAATCTAGTTTGCTTTATAAGTAATTTACTGTTAATACAAAGTATAGTGATTAGGCTCTTTATCTTCCATGTATTAGAATTTACAGAGTAGAGAAACGGATTTTACTATGATGAGAGATTACACAAATTGATTTTACTACAGTACGCTTCAGCTAGTTATAAGATCCAGAGATGAGCTAATTATGCTAGTAAACTATGGTAGAGAAGCTAACTATAGTAAAGATATCAAACTGTAACTAACAAGGTTTAGTTAAGCTAACAAATTGTAACAAACTTAGGATTTTTTCAACATTACTATTTGTCTGTTTCATTTTGCTTCAGTACTAGTTTTCTGCTTTGGAATATAGTATGGATGCAGATGCATGTGGTGGGTATGACCTGACCTTTTTCTATGTGAATAATTTTAAACGCAACATAGTGTGCCTAATGATATCATGATTTCCTATTATATAACTGTATATTTAGTCAAGAAGATTAATGTAATAATGTCTTATACTAGATCCTAATTTTATGTCAGGAAAATGGATACCAGCTACTGTTTTTGAGTGCCCGTGCTATTGTCCAAGCTTATCTAACCAGGAACTTTTTGGTTAACCTGAAACAGGTATTGAAAAGACAAGGCTTTCAGTAATAAATAACAGTTAATTTTTAATATGAAAAGTTTAGCATAAACGTGATTGTGTATGGTGCGGGTTATCAACTTTAATTATCTTTCTAGTCTTGTTTAGTTGCATGGATTGCATCTTCTGTTAAACTGTTTGCTTGCGTGCCCAATAAATCTTTTGATACGATTAAAGGAAGGGAGAATCACATTGCAAAAGTTATCTGCTATATAACATGTTTGGAATGTGGAAGCCATAATTATTAGCATGTGAAAATTACATCATACTTATAAGAGGAATCGTGTTTGGATGAGGAAGCTATAATCAACTTAAAACATGTAACTCATCATACTCGTATACAATTGAAGATATGATGAAGCGACCTGATATCAATTGATAAGAAGGATTGGAGTATCACACCATAAAAGTTAGCCAGTTTAGCTGGACAGTCCAAGGCTTAATATGCGTAGAATCTTATACTCCCAATATGGGACTCAAGTCTCATACATCAAAATTGGATCTTATTATCATCACTTTGTTAACTCTTAAATTTTTGTAATTTCTCTTTATATCCTTGCATCTTGATTGGTCAGTTACAAATACCATTGTATATTGTACAGGGGTAATGCTTTTGTAATTGAACTTAACTGTTTTGTAATTGGCACTGCAGAATAATTGAAATTCCCTCCCCCCCCCCTATCTTAGATAATACTAAAAGTTCAAATATGTGCAGGATGGCAAGAACTTACCAAATGGACCTGTTGTTATTTCTCCTGACGGATTATTTCCCTCCCTTTACCGAGAAGGTGAGACACTTTTATTAATGTAAGAGTAATTACGGTTGTGAATAGGTATTGTAATTTTAGTCTATGTAGCCAATTGTGATCCATCGATGATGTAATGACTTCTCTTTCTGCTGATGTACTCATGCCTAAATTTCATGATTCTATCTTTATGAAGACTTGTATACTGTTGGCAATAATCACCAAAGTGTGCTAGACAGTAAACAGTATGGTGGGCAAACACATGGAATCTATCGTGATTATGGGACAGATAAAAATGTCTGGATTTCAGCAAAAAATAGTATTTTCTGAGTTTTGACTACTGTAAGGCTAATGGACTTTTTGATATTTAATCATTTCAGCAATATGGGTTTGGAGTTCGGACTGACTTAAGTGGCTACGTATATCTTGGGCTTGGGCTTATGTATTGATTTTGAATTATGATATTATTCAAAGTTTTAACAGACTTTCTATGGTTTATGAACTGCAAAAGAAATATTGACAACTTTGATTTTCATTTTTATTTTGTCTTGCATTAAATTATCTATGCTCCTGATGTGTGCTGATAGACATTACAATCAGCTATGACTGGCGTGTTTGTGATAACCCATCCTTTTTTGTTAAATATACATATCTGACTTATATTATTATTTGGACCCTTAACTGATGGAAGTAATAAGAAGGGCACCTCATGAGTTCAAGATTGCTTGTCTAGAGGTAATTTCCAAAACACAATGAATTCAGAAGTGCCATCAAAAGGTATTACCCATATACTGAAATCATACTTATTCTTATAATGTTTGCAGGATATCAGAAGACTTTTCCCTTCTGATTATAATCCGTTCTATGCGGGGTTTGGCAATAGAGACACGGATGAACTTAGTTACAGGAAGATTGGAATCCCGAAGGGCAAGATATTTATCATCAATCCCAAGGTGATATATTTTACCATATAGTATTTTCTATAGTTCTCACAGGGTACTAACAAAATGCCATGAAAACTAGCAGGGTGAGGTCGCAACAAGTCACCGTATTGATTCAAAATCTTACACATCATTACACACACTGGTTAATGACATGTTCCCTCCCACTTCTATGGTTGAGCAGGTGATAAAATAGTCTCCAAAACGTGTAGATTTGCAATTTCCGAACTTTACAACTAACAAGATTTGATTAACAATTTTCAATTATGGCAGGAGGACTTCAACTCATGGAATTATTGGAGACTGCCTTTACCAGACGTCGATTAGTTCAATGCTTTAGGTGTTTTGTTCCTTTTTGACAAGGATCCGTTGGTATGGGACCATCCAAGATGTTAATCGATATGCAACATGTCCTTTCTACTTGGCACAAAACTGTGACATGATTGGAAAGCGTCCTACTACACGGGAATTCGATGATTGCATGCAAGTGTTCTCGCAGAACGTTACTCAACACGCCTCTGCTTTTCTTCTTTTTGATCTTCATTGAATCTTGATTAATCATTACCCATTAATCAACCACATAGTATAACATTTGGGTTACATGTATTATACTCATTTTTCCCTCACCAATATTGTCCAGGCCAACATTTGTACAATATATCCACTTTGTCAGAAAAACCAAATCATTCGTTGCACCTGGCCGCACGAGTGAAAACTCGTGCAAGGTACGGTGAGGGTCTGTAGTATCAGTATACACTGCATATCATACTATGTTTTTGAAACATTTTAAACGGAAATTCCAACATGCAGAATACTAGCATAACGAATTCCAACAAGGTAGTAGTACCACAATTTCTTGTACAATGATTCCTGTTAATGGACCCATGAACATGTATTGCATGTCACAATTATCCATTGAGCTTAGAATAGAAGGACAATACTTGTAGAGGGACAATACTTAGAAGTGAACATGTGATTGTTAATTCACATTTTTGTCGAGTACTTCAAAGACTATCAAAGAAAATCAGAGTCTATTCTTCTCTGCCTTTTCTAGTTTTTGCTTTTCCTACCCTTCTTACTATAAAAGTTGCACTTGCTGTTTTACGTTATGTCTAAATTAATCCTCCCATTGTGCTCCATTCAAGGAAAAGGGTGTTTTCTTAATGAATAAAACAAATTTCTTGAGCCCAATCTTAATTAAAACAGAGATCTTTTTTTTTTTTTTTATCATAAACCTTAGTATAAAGAAAATTATGACAGTTATGAAAATAAGAAATTTTCTAAACAATGTAGTATGTTCCAAGTAGAGTTTGCAAACTTGATAAATATAATTTTATGAAATTGATTCTGGTTAAAAATATTTTTAAATGTATGATTATGGATTATGATTCTGGGATTAACCACCAACAAAACACAACTTACAATTAAGTTTAATATCTTAAGTTTGAAGTAGAAACAAGAACACAATCGTAGTCTTACAAATTAGAAGCATAACCTTATTTTTACCTTAAAATTAAGAAACATGGTTTTGTATCTATCTGAACTTTATATTTGGCGGTTGCTAACATGCCTTTATCTTTCCTAACGCTACTCAAGTTGGATGGAGAATCTACTAAGAGTAGGAACTTTGTGGAGGACAAAACAATTGCTTTCGAGCTTTTGTTTGGTTTCCCCATTCTTTATTTTTCGAAACCAACGCTCTTGGCTAACTTTCCAGAGTGAGTGATCATATAAAAACTGCATCATCACCTTCTAATGGCCTGTATTCTCGCATTTCATGAGGTCAAACATCATGTTAGAATTTCCAAAGACACAGGAAAAACAAAATGCTAAAAAAGAGAACGGTTGTATTTGACCAAGTCAAATAAATCACCATGACATGATTTTCATGCCTCGTTTTACTCTATTTTAATATTTATTTCCCTCTTTCATGATAGGTGTTTACAAAAATAAAATAAAATAAGCAAGGAAGAGAGAAACGATATTATTTTTAGTAAAATATTTTTGACAATTGTGTCATACAACTATAGTAATTAACATGTAGAGAATGCAATATATAAATATTATATTCTTTTAGAATTAAGAAAATATAATTATTTAGACAATTTGAGAAGATAATGTATTCTTTTCTCTTAATCTATCACTAAGTGAACAAAGATAATATAAAAGAAATTTTAGAATGATTTTAAAAGCACCAACCTAACTCCTTAGGTAATAGAAAATAGCGTGGCACTTTTGCTCTTAAAAATGTTAATATAGTTAGACAACTATTTTTTTTTAATATAGAGAGTAAATAATTATTGTATATAATTTAAATTTATATTGCCATGTAAAATTATTTTCAATTATTGATCTTTTTTTAAAAAATATCGAAATTTAGTTCTGAAACAGATAAAAAAAATACTTTATTAGAAAAAAATTTATTGAAGAGAAGAAAAAGAAAAGATTGCAAGAAACCAACTCTTAGAAACTTCTCATTCAAATAACATTATAATTTCTATAATATTAGTATTGATATATAAAAAGAAAACATTGAAGGAGTGGTTGTGGTTGATATAAAGTGTGTATGTATGATTAATTGATATAAAAATGAGAGTAGGCAGAAAATGGAAAAGTAGACAAAGCAACCTTCCTCCACGAGAGATGCTGCGTTTGGTTTTCTGATGGTTAGACACGCCATTCGGAATGAACTCCTCACTTCAGACATGTCTTCATACAGAGAAAAATTATGGTCTTTTCCAAGATCTGGCACAGAAGCACGTCGGTGTTGTATCAACAAAGTAAAAAAGAAAAAAAACCAGAAAACAAGAAAATTAAATAACATAACCTTGTATATCTTTAATTTAACCACCTTTTTATAACTATTTTTTACATGCACGACACTTCTTTGCATGGAATAATTACGTTAGTGATGAATGATAAGGACACGTCTAGATTCATTTTATTGAGAGCTCCGAAAGTGGATGTATCATTTACCTACTTCGGTACTAGTTTCGATCTAGTGTGTGAATTTCATTTTCATGGTACGAACAAGAAGGGGTGAGTGTGTTACTTCCATTGAAACTCAATAAAAAAACAAGATTAGTGTCAACATCGTCCTCAGTTGGAGACTCTCTCAACATGTACTTAACACATATCAAATTCAAATGGAAGAAGACAATATAGTATGTATGAATGAAACACATGCACGATATTGTGTCAATTATGGCAGCCACTAATTACGGAGTTGAATCTCTAAAGAGTTCCAACACCCAGATTCTTATTCACTCAGAACCCTGCTCTAAACATGAACAATTATTATTCTAGAAGTAGCCGTTAATAGGTGTTCGTCTGATTTTTTATGTATACATTCTGCACCAACAAAGAATGATTAAAGCAGTGATTGCCCAATGTGTATACCAATCTGTTTGATTCCTAACAACAATAGCACTTCAAACTTCAATTGGCAGTGCCAAAACGTCATTTATTTTTATCCAAGTCAAGGTTGTTGAGACAAATGGCTCATTCTTCAACTTTGTGTTCCTCAACAAGTATACCATGTTGTTTTGTTGATTTTGTTGGTGGCCATTCTCTGATTATTGCTCTTTATATATCTCCCCTTTTTAGGTCAATGAGTTGGACAACGATGGAATTTCATGATGACAACTCAAAGGAGAAAGTGTTAGATTATATTTCATTTATACATATGATAAGTTACCACAGTTCCACACATAAAAGTGTTTGACATTGTTGTTGAGGATTAAAGTTACGATTGTTAATTTTTGTTCGACATTGTTCAATTTAGTGAATATTTTTATCTCAGGATTAAGTAAAAAAGAACACTCCATCATAGTTCATTGTTCGCTTTGCGTATGAAACTTTTATGTTAAAAGCTTCTTTAATAATAATTTTAGTTTTTTAGGATGCATCATGATGCATTGTTTGTTTTTAAACCTAATCTATCATATTTCTTTTACGTGTTTACAAGAATATCAAGGGGAGATGTAATTTAAATCAGTGAGGGTAAGAAATGCAAAACTTAATTACATAATTTAAAATTAACATTTAAATTGAAACTAAATTAAAAAAATTATTTTACAATGATATATAATTTTATAATATTATTTATCCCATCACAAAATAATTAAAGAAATTGATTTACAAATCAATAAATAACAAATAAAACACAAAATAATAACAGTGGGGTTTCGAACTTACGATTTACACACAACTATTCAAATCTGAATGAGTTTACTCGATCTCGATAAATAATAGTGACTCACTTTAGTATATACATATTTTTTTATTTTGAGAATGTATTTTTATTTTTTTACTAAGAAACGAAAGATAAACTTCAAAAACTAATAGAAACTTTTGATTTAATTAATTTAAGCTATTAATTAAAGAGAGTAAGAGTCCAAGAAGAGTGAGTACTATCGTATTCATTGTGTATGACCAAAGAAATAATTGTCTGCATTGTCCGAATTTTCCCAAGTAGATATTTAGAAGAAATAAATTTTAGTTATATTTTGCTATTTTATTTTTCCCAAACTAAATTATCTAAAGTAAAGTCTCAAAACACTGGTGAATCGTATAAAAAAAAAGTCATATTTTTATTCGAAATTTTTTATTTATTCAGAACTGAAATTACTTCAATTAGTCCAAATCTTTTTCATTACATCTTCAATATTTATTTTTGTTGAGAAAAAAATACACAGTTTATTTAAAAAATTTAGATTTAAAAATATATATTAGTTTTAAGTGTTTGTCATTTTTAACCCTTCTCTTGATCTTTACCATAAATTATAATTAATGGAACATAATTAAGTTATTATAAATTATTTCAAATTAAAATAATTAAATTTTTTAAGTACGTAATTTTAATTAAATAACATATTTATTATTTAATATAAAAAGGTATTCGCATTATTTTTACTTTTTCATTCGATAATTTAATTTTAACATTTTATTTTTATAAAAAAAAATTAAATTATTACAAAATACTTTTTAATACATTATAAATAAAATTTTTATCTCTAAATTAATAAAATATATGTTTTATAATTTTAAGACTAGAAGTTATAATATATTAAAATTATATAATATAAAAATGTTATTTTTTCTTTTTCTATCTTATAAATACTAAAATAAAATAATATACATTATAACATTATAAAAAAATATGTTTTATAAATAATATTAATAATAGTAATAAAATAAATCCTTTCTATAATAAAATAAAAAAATTTAAAAATATTTTTACTTACTTTTTCTTTTATTTCTTTCAACTAATTAACCTGTATTTTTTTTCCTTTTCTTTTTCACTCACTTTTTATATTTATTTTTCTTTCATCTTTATCAAATCCAATATATACAATTCTCTTTCAACTATTATTAACAAAAGGACATATTCTTGTTTATGGGGGGATAATACTGTTGTCGGGATATGTTATTGTATTTTTTTTTTTCTAGCCTTTATTTTTGTTATCAAAATATATACTAAGATTAAATGAACTATAAATTTTATGTTAAAATATAAAGAAATTAATTTTGAAAGGCAATAACTCCTAATAAAAAAAATCAATATTTATAGTAACTGAACTTTAAAAAAATATTTTTTTAAATGTTTACAAGACTCCAGAATGAAAATGTTATTCAATAGAGTAAGAGTGCAGAACAGTTAATCTTAAACATTATAAAAGAACAGTTGAAATAAACACAGTTAAGTATGATTATAACTTAGGACATGTTTGGTTATTCGATAAGATAAGAAACTTTCAAGGTACGTTCAAAATGTAAAATTGCAAAAACTTTTTGTTGATTTTCAGTTAATTTGGTTTATATACTAAATATTGTCTTAACTTTCCTTAATCCTTGAATCTCAGTTTATAAAATAAAATTCTTTTGAACATGATTTTATAGACATTAAAGCATACATGTCCTTACAAATTTAGTTTGTATTTTATAAATAAATAAATTAAAAAATATTTGTTATATATAAGAAACTTGGGTAGCATCTTCCCTCTTCACTTGAAAGCTCAATTTCCCATAGGCATCTCCATTCTGTGACACACAAATAGAGAAACCACCACACACAGAACAGCAGAGAGAGTCACATGAAATGGCCACAAAAAGGGCATCCTCGGTTCATGTAGACGAAGACTACATTGACATTGAACTAAGATCTTCCCCCAACTTCTTCTCTTACTCCATTGACACCACACCACATAGCAGAGAATTTGAGTTCCAAAACAAGGAAGAGTCCACAACTTCCCCTGCCGATGAACTCTTCTACAAAGGAAAACTCCTTCCTCTTCACCTACCTCCTCGCCTAGAAATGGTGGAGAAGCTTCTCCAGAACGCTGATGCCACCTTTGGCTTCACAAGATCACAGTCATCATTGGAAGAAAGTAGATTTCTTTCAACAAATGCCACCACCCCTCTTGAATCCTGCAACATCTCTCCCGCAGAGTCACGCAGGGTTAGTTCCTGTGAAACGCTCTCTTCTGAGTATCAATTTGACTGGTCCTCTGAGATAGAAGGGTTGGTCAGTGATCATCACCATCTTCCAAAGAAACAAGCAAAGCAGTTCTGGCTGGCTCAAAGGCTCAAGGCTTCAAAAACTTACTTGAAATGTTTGTTCAGCAAATCTGGCTGCTCAGATAAGAGATTTGGCAGTGATGCAACAAGCAAAGTGGGGGAAGTGAAGAAACCGAAATGCAAGGAGTGCCAGAGCATGAAGTACGTGAAGGATGATGCCAGGAAAAACAGAAACAGACACAAAAACCAGTTTGAGTTGTTCTGTGACAACAAACACCGGAGGCAGACATCCTGTGTGGTCAAGAACAGTGACGTGCTTGAAGATGGGTTCATGAACAGCAGCAGAAGGTCTTTCTCTGGGGTGATTCAACGGCATTGTGCCTCCAAGGCTTCATCTTTGTCCACCTCTTCTTCTGGGTCATCTTCTTCATCTTCTTCTTTTTCACTCAGTTCAGCTGGGTCTTACGAATTGCAGTTGTTCAACAAGAGTATCAGTGCGGAGCTGGAGAATTCAATTGAGAGTGCCATCGCTCATTGTAAAAAGTCCCAGCAACAGGGTGGTTCGACCAAGGTTTGTTCACTGGGGAGCACGTGGATGAACCACCAAAGGGAAAGTGAGATAGTTAAAAAGAATGAGTTTCTCATTTGAAATGCAATTGTATGTTAAGGGAGTTTGATGCTTGAGTTAATAGCTTAGTTTGCAGCATTACTTTGTTAAAATGAATACTCTTGCTTCTTCCTCTCTCCGTCAATTCGTGTACATGTTGCATACTGAGTGAAATTGAATCTTTTAGCAGTAACAGTCAGAGAAATGCATTTCACTCAAGCGAAAGTGACTTTTGTTTTTTAAATAATGCATACTTATGATAAGTCGTCATTAGATTTTTGTATGATAAAACTCCATGATAAGATGAGTGTTCTTGTCTTTTGAAATTTGAAATTGGTCCACACTCCTCAATTAACCCTCCTATGCCACTTCACGAGATTTGTGGATTTGATTGTTCCACAATTTAAATAGAACGCAGCCCCCACTTACAAATCTCACTGAAGTGTAGTTATTTTGTCTGTGATATCCTAAGCTGGCATATAACTCCTTTAACATAAGAAGCTGCCCCTCCAAATATTGTATATAATAAGTTAACTGCGCTCAAATGCAGATAATATTTTTTGACAGTTTTCCATAGTTTGGTTCACTGTAAAGGGTAAAATTTTTGCCAACTGCCAAGTCTAATGTTCTGAATCTGACTCTTTTCCCCAGAACTAGATTCTCAATGACTGCTTCAGGCTTTCCCAGCAATTATTCTTTCAGAGTTCAACAGGGACAACAGATAGGATGATGTGGTAGTGTATATAAATGATGAGCGACGTTTTTATCCTTTCCCTTCTTTTTCTGATTTGTTTAATTGTTTAAAGCTTTTCTGTGAAAAGAAGTGAGGGAAAAGTTGAAAGTCATTTAGAATAACCTAACAGTGACCCAAAAAAGGTTACTGAACAGCCATTCACCTTTTTGAAGGAAGAAAAAGCTTAAAAAAGTGGCAAAGAGTAGTCTCATATGTGAGATGTGAAAATCATGGTACATTTGGTGCCTCAAACCTTTTCCTCGCCGACTTATCCCTTTTTAAAAATAATCATAATTACTAACAACGAATCCCCAGCCAAGCAGCATAGACAGCAATAGTTGACTGCAGAATACAGCTAAAATGGTGCAACTCTATATCCTTGATGCAATTACCGAAGTGTAATAGTAAGAGAGTAACTGACAAATTGTGATCAGAACACAATATGTGTCTCTCTTCCTTCAATTCAATTTTGAAGAAAAAGAAAAGGAAAGAATTCACATTTTCATTCTGTAAAGGGCAAATAAAGCCCCCACCACCACGCATCACAACTTGCCATTGCGGGGCATGTACTCTGCAGATGTCACATTAAAAAAAATAACCCATTGTACAATTATTCTGCAGACAATTAAACCTTTACGCGTGCACTTCCTCCGTTCTTCGTTTCTTTTGGTTTTGGCTAACCATTAAACTAAACGAACATGAAACTGAATCACATGCGGAGAATTCGAAGTTGCACCATGAATGTTGTATCATAGTGTACTGATTAGACAAACACATGAAACAAAACACAAAGAACAAGCAATTATTTTCCCCCGCCAATGGGTTGGTTGTTCATAGTCCTAATGGTCAATGGATAAAGTTAAGTACCTCTCTCTCGCTCCCTCTGTCCAAGTTTATGTACTCTTTCTTTTTTCGTGATACATATTTTAAAGAATCTTCTAGAAAAAGCTAAAACTGTTAAAGCTCTCCAACATGCTAAACGATTTGAATTAATATCTCTGACTAGCCACTGTCTATAACACTATTCTAGCTTGGAATCCGTACAAGAAGAAGTCCAACCTAGAATCTGTCCCAAAAGGTAAATGTAGAAAACCAAAGTACATTATTCTACACCTCAATGTTCAACCAAATTCATGTATACTTCCGTGGCAATGCAAATGGATAATTTTGTGCCGATAGGATTAGAGTTTTGCATTGAGATGTTTTGCAACTTTGTTTGAGTAGTACGTACTAGAGACATTTACATTTACATATTCTGAGAAGTGATTGTGTACAGTTGTATTCCAAGGGTCCCGTTTGAGAAGAAGAACAAGAAGAGTGCACCAACCGAACAGATCTTCATGGGTGTCATCGATATCATCCAAGAGTTGCAACTTGCATTAGTCACGTCAAATTGTCAAGCCCTTGGCTAGTGTTCATTGGTGTCCCTCCTTTGAAAATATTGCTTCCCATAAACACATCCAGCTCCAGAACTTCAACCTACGAATAAACCTTTCCTTGCTCTGGTGGTTATTATGTTCCTCGTACACGACAATATGAATGCATTATTAGCCCTTCATTTGCATTTATATGTCCATCCTGTTGCATCAAATTAGCTAGCATATAGCAATGTAAAGCTTGCATTTAGGTACCGTAATTTGACCAGAAAAAAAATTTTGATAGAAGACATGAAACATTATACTAGGATGATTCCCTCGACAATTTTTCCTCCTACCAAAAACGTTCCTGGGAGTAAAAAATTGTGTTTCATACTCAACTAAATTCATATCTACTTCGAATTAACTTATTGAGCCCAAATGCATCTAGGAAAGTTGATCAAAATCTAGGAAAAGTTTATCAAAGTTAACTTGGAATACAAAGTCGTATTAATCTACACTAAAGTAGTGTATATCTTACGCGTAATAAGGGACCTTGGCTCTGTGCCAAACATTCTTGTACAAGTTTGACACACATTTATGCTAACCCTTGTATGCAATTTTATTAACTTGAGCTGAAGTGTCTTACTAGTATCTCACCATAGACATGCTCAAATTTGAGGAGTTCAGAGAAGCTTGTCCACCATATACTTATGGCAAAAAAGAAAATTACAAGATTAGTCAATTAAGATACATGGAATTACACTACCTTCTTACATCCATTAAAGGTGCTACAGGTGCTATGTTATCATTGTGGAGCCTATAGGATGTGAAGAAGCTTTAATTGAATAAAAAAATATTAGTTTTTTTTCAATTATATCATTTTTATAATAGGATGTTAGTAGTATTTGAATTTTTTATTAAACATTTTATATACAGAACCCAATAATAAAAGTTTTCTTTTTTCAATTCTCTTTTACATTTTTTTTCTGAAAAAAAAATAGCAAATATAATCATACAACAGATGCAATCATACAAAGGAAGGGTGCAACCTTTGAATTTTTTACTAACGTAAAAGGTATTTTGTGACTTGGTAGAGACATATTTACACATTCTGAGAATTGATTTGTTGTTTTCTTTCTCATCTTGCAGACCTGTATTCCAAAGGGTCCCGCTTTCGGCAGTGAAAGAAGAAGAAGAAGAAGGGGAAGTAGAAAGCACCAACCGAACAGATTTTAGTGGGTTTCATTGATATCATCAAAGAGTTGCAAGTTGTGTTAGTCACATCAAATTGTGAAGCCATTTTCTAGTGTTGATTGGTGTCCCTGCTACGAATAATGTCGCTTCAATTCCCCTAAACAAATCCCGATTCAAGAGAATTTCAAACTCACAAATAAACCTTTGCATGCTGTAGTGGCTATGATCCTCGTACACGACAATAACAATGCATTCTGAGCTCTTCCTTTGCATTTATGGTTACTTCCGTATCCAAGTTAAATTTTGTGTAGGTGATCATACTAATTTAAGATTAATTCTGGAAGATATTGTATCATAATATTTGTGAATTTAATATACTTTTTTATATTATAGGGTTTATTATGTTAAATGTACTTAATGAAGTTATGACAGGTTTTAGGGTTTATTATGTTAAATGTATTTAACGAAGTTATGTAAGGTTTTACGTTTTTATATTACATTTTGAATTAAATTTAATATAATATGAGATATTAATTAACAAATGGTATTTATTCAGATTTTATCATATTTGTGAAAACTATTTCAGTGTCAAAAGGATAAAAGAGAAAGTTATTTGTTCAACGACAAAAATCATCAAGAAAATATGTTGAACGTATATTTGGAATCCTTTAATCTTAATTTGTAATTATACATGATTCGACACATTTTTGGGATATTCATATATTAAATAACATATATCATGATATATATTTATCAAAATCATATTGATTATGATATTAGAAAAAAAAGATGTTAACTATTAATATATTTTTAAGTTTTCATCCTAATTTTAGATCTATATATTTTTAAAGATAGAAATACTCATCACTAATTTCAAACAGATTTAGTAAAACATATCTAACAAAATTTGAAGGAAAAAATAATGAAATTTAATTTTATGGATTATATTTTTTAGTATTATTTGATTTTTATTATATTTATTTAAATATTATGTATTTATATTATTTTTAAATTAAAATAAGATAGTGTATTATTAATTAAAATAATTAATTATTTAATGTATATATTTATTTTTATAAAAAATATATAAAATAATAAATTATTAAAAATTACTTAAAATTCTTATTATTAAAATAAAATTAAATAAAAATTATTTAATTATGATGTGACAGTGTAAAAACTTTACTTCACTATTTTTATGAATGAAACCCTCTTTTAAAATGTTTACATTGGAGTTGCTCTAATAGGAACGTAAGCTCTCGCTTACATGGTTTGTTTGAACAGGAAACTATTGATAGAAAAGTCAAAATATGTATGCATAACACCACAAAAAATATAACAGGTCAATAAAATAAGTAGCCTTATAAGCACACCCTATAAGTAAATATTGATTGATGATCATACCCTTTTGACCCTTTCAAAAGAAAAATACGAAGGTGGCACTGTTGGATCAGTGACCAAGTGGAACACGCGAGTAATGTCAGTGGAAATTCAAGGCCTCCAAATCATTATTTTCTTGTGCTAGTATATATATTGTCACATATTCTTTCCATTTATTATTTATTCTTTTAAATTTTTACTGCTGAAATCTAGCAGAAGACATCTCGGAAAGAAAAAATTACACCTTTTTTTTTTTCCTCGTAACTACAACCTGTTGTTATCCAGCATCTATCAAGTTGATGCTTAACATACCTCACATCAGCTTCTACCCATTTAGGATTTTAGCCACTGAATGAAATAATGAGTGCTGTCTCTTTTTCCTTCTCACAACACAATGTAGATTGTCGTATATTTTACTTTGATGAAGACGTTAAATAGAACAAAAATATAATTTGGCATTACTTCAGCACTTATATTCCAACAAAGTTCGAACTTCAGATAATTATTCATTCCTACCTCTCCCCTCATTATTTATTTCTTTGCTTACAACTGACAAATAGTAGATTCCAACAAGTAAAAATAAATAAATTAAATATATAAATCAAGAGCCATTAGAGCAAGAACAGAGCTTTAGACTAGAAATGATACCGATTTCTGCACGAACCATGTGCCAGAAGGTCGTTTTGGGATTGTTTTCCCTCATTTTCACCTAAGATTCTTAGAAGCAAAGAAAACTTATTTAAGAAAATTACGAGCGTTGTCACACAGTATTATTTTATTTCCTAAATCATACAAAGTGGGCACTCATATATCTCAGTAAAGTGTGGCATGGCAGTCGTTGGCACTTGCCAGTAATGCCTAAAGCAAAACTTTCTGATTACTTTTTCCTTTTCTTCTTTGGCTTATTATTATATATACACAAACCAGGTGGCCAAAGTAAGTAGCCTTATTCATAATAAATAATAATAATTAAAATATCATTTGATAGGACCAAGAGGCATAAGTGAACCGATATCAATCTTCCTTTTTCTTTTTTGGTAGGGACCATGATCTCTTATTTGATGGTAAGGAAATTTATACTCTCTTCTAACACAGAAATTCAAAAAATCAGATGACATAAGAAGTACTAGTAACTCAATAACTGCAAACTTCTAACACAGAAATTCAAAATAGGCGTCATCCAATACTTTCAATATAGAATGATCATTCACATATCGAGTGGAGTATGATTACACTTTTTGCCTGTGTTCTGCAAAGGCGTGGTTTTGTAGCATTGGTTAATGTTTGTTTTACTAAGAAACAAATACCTACGTTAGCGTAATATCTCAAAAAAAGGAGAACTCTTAAATGGTAGAAATCAAAGTTATATGGCGTACACTGTCTTGTACTCATTCTCCGATCCTGACATTACTGACATAGAAATTGACTGCCTACTGCTCATTGTTGTCCTAAGACTTCGCAATCTTGAGGCCTCAAGGCGGTGAGCAATCACCCAATAACAGAGTGTTCCTAAAGTAGCTGCCATAATCACTGTCCCTAGAGCTGTGGCTGCTATTGCTAACTCTTTATGATCTCCAACAATTATGAATGACATTGCAATAAACGCCACAGAAATTAGCACACAGGCTACCCACATCAACTTATTTATAACTGCCATCATTTGTCTCTTTGCTTTCCTCTCAATTACAACCACTGATGTTTGGACTATCACAACAGCCAATGATATGAAGAGGGCAGTAGAATCAAAGATTATGAATATCTTGAATCCAATATGGGGAGCAATATATGCTTCCCCAGGAGACATCCAAGGAGAGAGTTTATCTTGTTGCTCAGGATACTGGCCTGGGACATTATATATGGCAGCAAAAGCAACTGCCGCAATTAGGATAGCAACAACAATGTTGGAGTTGATAGCATTGTTAAGTCCCTCAGTGTGCATTCTGTTAATTCGCTTCGCTATACCTTGCATGCGCCTTTGTGTTTTAAAAGTGTGTTCCAGCTGGTTATGAACTCCACTTTTTATGTCACTCACTGTTCGTTTGATCTCAAGGGCTGTGTTTGTAGTAGGTGACTTGATGGACTTTGCACTTTGAGCTCCACCGTGTTGCAGAAAGTTGGATATTTCCAAGCGACCATTTTTCTCTGCAGTATCTAAAGGAGTTTCTCCAGATTTGTTAATAACATCTGTGTCTATTTCTCTGCAATCTAGTAGCTTCTGAACAACCTGCAAGATTAGTACCTAACATTAAGTTTACATACTACGGTTGCAGAACCTAATCAAACTGTTGAAGTTAATCGATTCAGACAGAAGTTAAACTAGGACTAATGCAAATTTTGAGGATATTAAAATTTACAAAGTAAAACCTAAATATCTAACCCCAAAAAAAAGCAGTTTATACAGGTTGTTACATTTCCACCCACTCATTTGCCAAATCACAACGATTATGCTCGCATTTATAACACTAGAGACAAAGTGCCAGCCACAGAGGCACTGAATAAGTAAATTTAAACTTTTAAGTCAGTTTCTCTTATTTTAACCAGAACACTACACAAACACACATCTACCTTTGAAAAAATATCCTATTTAAATTTCAAATACTATAAAGAGAAGATAGAAATAAGATATCTGTTAATTTATGTTAGAAAAACCAGACGCTTCCTTAAGTATCAAAGAAACATAGTACTCTTGAGCTAATAAAGAAAATTTAGTTCGTTCGTGATCTTTGACGAAAAACTCTCGAATCTAATGGCAAGAAGGAGAAGCACAAGTTCAGTTGAAGCATAACGATACATCAGTACCTTCTTAAGAATGAAAACAAAAAAAAAGACGAAAGCAAAATTTTTACCTGTAGACGACCCTTCCGGGTTGCTATATGCAGTGCAGTGTTTCCCTTGGCATCCACCATATTAGCCAAAGATGGGTTCAGTTTCACAAGCTCGCCCACCAATTCAAGATTCTGTCCTTTAACTGCCATATGGAGTGCTGTCTGGCCCTTCTTATCAATTCTCACTGCAATTTCAGGTTCTTTCTTTAAAAGGGTCTTGACTATCTCTACGTGGCCACTTCTTGCAGCAGAATGCAGAACAGTTTTCCCATTGCTTTTCGCAATAGTTACCAAGCTGCTACCATTTTCCAGAAGAAAATTTACTACCTCACTATGTCCTTGTGCTACAGCAGTATGCAACGCAGTAGTGTTTGACATATCAACAGTCATTGAAATTTCAGGAAAGAACTCCATGAGGACCTTCAATATCTCTTCAAAACAGTGAAATCATTCAGACAAAATCCAAAGTTTAAATTGATAATAAAGTTATTATTTAGAAGTGAAAGTCTATTAAACCTAAAAAACTCAGACATGAAGATTCAGGCAAATTTGAAAAAGACAAAAGTATTTAAATCTTATATAAGTAATATATATTGGGTATCAAATCAATACATAACCAAGTTTCTTGACAAATCAAGCAAGAATTGATAAACTAAGTAGCATAACATTCATCAAAATGAAGTTAAATTACTGCAACAGTACACGTATGCTCAAATGGGTTTAGCAAACACCCTAATATGTAGTAACTACTAGTAAGGATCCTCCAACTATCCATTTGAGATCATTTAAGAGACTTACCCAAATGTCCACTCTTAGCAGCGATGTGGAATGCATCGAATCCATTTCGAGCTTTGAAGCCGGCCAACCCAATATCATGGTATCTAATCAATTCCTTCACTATATCAAGATGACCATTTTCAGCAGCAACATATAAGGCAGTTTCACACGAGTTGTTTTTCATTGAAAGCAGCTCCTTTAATTCTCCCTCTGGACTCTGAGAGGTGATTTCCAGAACCAATTCTAAATTTCCAGCTCGGATTGCAGATTGTAGGGGAGAATCACCCCGTATACCTGTCAATTGTTTCTTCATCATCTTTTGAACGTATCTTTACTACTTCGATGGTGCTCCGACTTATCGAGTTTACATTTCCTCAAGACGTACCCAAGTTACAATGATTGATGAGATCTCACTATCAATTTACCAAGCAATATTGTGAAGGCAATTCAAAATTATACGCAACGGGGTAAGCACTCAATGCATACTTGATTCCAAAACACATCCTGACCACTTCAGAGTTCACAGTTCAGACTTCATTTCTTCTTGCTTCCGGAGCCAATTCGAGATAGCTGCATAGAGATGGCACAAAAACTAAATTAAAGAGTAAGCAATAGTAGGGACCCAAAATAGACCAAAGCATCATTTTTTCAGGAGGCGTGAAGGGGAAGGCAATATTGATTCAACAAAAATCAATAAAAACAATCTTTTGAAACAAAAAGAAACTCAATTCAATAAATGGGTAAGCAACAAATATTTAATTGAAGTGAAAAGAAAAGAACAACTAACCATTAATTCACGAAAAGACTTGGTAGGGGATAGACGGGTGGTTTATATGCTTCTCTTCCTAAGACATGTTGAAACTGAATAGGAAAATAGTATTAACATGAAAACTTCAAAAGGGAAGTTGGAGAAGAAACTGAAGAAGGCGGGAAGTTGAGGTGTGAAGAGGCAGAGAAGCAATTGAGAAACTTTCTCCCCCTTGTTCAACGGAGGAAAAAGGTTAACCACCTTGTGGAAGCAGTTCAAGTTTGATTCAAAGAGAGATGAAAAGTGATTAAGAGGTGAAGAAGAAGAAGAAGAAGAATGAAGGGAGAAGAAGTGCGGTCAACTCGGAACAGGAGTTAGGTCCAGTTTGTTTGCCAGTTTCAACTTTGCCTACAGTACAGTACAATACAAGACAAGGGTCCCATGACATACATGAGGTGCAAGAGGATGTGCAATCCTTGACTGCCATTTTCCACTGAATAAGACACCCTCATCATTAAAATTATAACAATCTAACACCATTTAATTCATACATCAATATTATATAACAATAATGGAAATTAAAAAAATATATATTAGTAAATATGAAAGAAACGAAAAAGATTAATGAACAACTGAATACGAAATATATTAATGAATAATTTAATACAAGAACTATTACTGAATAAATTGAATACCACAAGTTTAAATAATATATCCGGACAGAAAAAGAAAAAGAAAATCTGTGAATAATAGGAATGAGAATACGACGAACACACGTAGTAACCATTACTACTACGCAAGTGTCTATTCAAAATTTTATAAAGGAATATTCGCTAAAATAAAATACTTTGGGTAACACATAACTGTTTTAAAATAATTGTGTACCATTTTTTATTGTAAAAATAATAATTTTGAAATATACATTTATATTAAAAATAAATTAAAAAGACTTACTTTCAAATTAAGAAAAAATATATTTTAAGTTCCTATAAATATGATTTTATCTTACTTTAGATTTGTTATGAAGGATGTATTATTATTCTCTACAACCACTTATAATCTAACTTAAATATAAATTACAAAATAATTTAGATGTGATGACTTTACATAAACCTAAATACAGTTTAATTTTAAATATTTTTATATTTAGTAACTAATAAAAAAGAGACACTATTGAAGTCAATACCTCCTAACGGTATAAGTGCTTTTAAAAATTATTTTTCTTTCTTTCAAAAGTAAATATTCAAATAAACAATATCAAAAATCAAAAGTCAAATATTTATATTTTACACTGAGAAGGGCCTGATGCTAATTTTTCAAGCAAAAAGTAATATTTTATTTAATGACAATGAAAATGTCACTTATCAATATCAAATTTTAATTATAAGCTGTGCTTTATTTAAAATTTAAGAAAAAATAATATTTTATTTCGGTATTCAAGTGAACTTGATGATAATCAAATTTTAATTGTAAGATGTTCGTATATTTCGTATTTAACAAACAGATTATCGCTTAATAGAAATACTTGCGCATAAAAAATTAAAAAAAAGTTTCATCTTTGATAAAATATCAATTACTTTCATATTTGAAATGTTACTCTACCATATAAGTTATATATATAATAAGGGTTGGAGTTCGTAATTTTAGTATTTAAATTAATTATCATAAAAATGGAAGAGAAAAAGGTGAAAGTATGAAATAGTGTGTGAAAGAGTACTTTATTATTATGATTGTTGAGAAAAATATGTAATGCATGAAGGAAAAAATTATCAACAAAATTTTTAGATAATAACTTTTATTTATTTTTTAAGGAATGATTATGTATTTATATAATAATAATAATAAAAAATAAAAATACAAAATTTGGGATGACGACCAACACAATGTCTCTTTTATATCCGCTTACGTATACATTAAAAGAAATAAAAATAAAAATAAAAATTAATTTAACACAGTGTTATGGGAAAAAAAGATAAATGATGTTTGAATAATTTTCTTAAGCAGTCACAAAAAATAAATTAAATTAAACTACATGTATAAATTAAAACTAATTATATACTATATATTTTATAAAATATGTTAATTTTTATAATAGTTTTTTATTTTATTTTGATGGAGACTTTTGTTTCATAAAAAATTGCAACATTCTCAAAAATATGAAAGTGAAAATTTTTATTTTTATGTTTGTTAAAAGTCTATAAACTTTTTTGTGAATTATTTTATTTTAATTAATCTAGAATTTTAAAAACATTAAAGGATAACTAAACTTGGATGTCGTCGCTCTTTTATAGTTAACGAAATAATATTTCCATCGAAAATAAAATAATGTTTTGTTTTTTGGCTACTAGTGAAACAGATTTTATATATTACAATATAATTAGGGTGATTAAAATTTTGAGTATATGATAGTGACACTGATATTATAATTGATGGATTAAAATTGAATTCGTAGAGCTTATTTTGACATTTTGGTTGAATATTTCAAAACAAACTACCTAATGTATATGATGAAATAGAGGGGTTGAAAAAGATTGAAAAGACATGAAAGAAAAGTTTAAGCAAGAAAAGGAAAAGGAAAATGATCAGAGGCATAGGTGTGATGGTGTTTGAGCCCACCACGCCACTCAAATTATTCTACACTTATTTTGTTCAGTATTCTTATCAAAGATGGAGAGGTTTGTTATTTAACAGAACAAAATATAAGATTTGTGCCTTATCATAAGTTGTCATATTTGTAGATAAATAAATAATTAAAATGTTAAGAATAATTAAAAAATTATATTTTAAGTATTTAAAATAAGCATATATGTAAGATTAACAAGGCAAGACAATATCATATGCACTGGGTCCCACGTATTTATAATTTTTACAAGTATATATCTACCAATGTCTAAAATTTTAAAATTATATAAAGAAAAAAATGTAGCATTTTAATCAAAAGAAAAATTAGGGTAATTCTATTGAAACCCATGCAAGCACAACACTTCAAAATTTAGGAGAATTGAATTTTCAATAATGTGCCAATTGTAAACTTAACTGTCTGATAACTTAAAATTGACAAAACGCGTGTGAAAGCAACATGTGTGGAGCATATTCCTTATTTAATTATCTTTTTCCACGAGAGTTTGAGCATTAACATAAAATCATCTCAACCAGTTTAAATTTGGTTGTTATGTCCGACGTTTTTATTAAATGTTCGATCTAATATTCCAATTATATATATATATATATATATATATATATATATATATTATTAGAATTTATTATTACATTTAAAATATTGTGCATGTTAAAATTGTAATTTATTATAGTTTTATTTTTAAAATGTCTCAATACATTGATAAAGAGAAAAAATATATATTTTATATATATTATATAAATTATAAATTATGCAAAAGACAACAGCTAGTGATGAGAATTTTAAAATTAAATTTAACTTTTTTTAACTATACTTATTTTATCCTTATGTTCAAAATAATTTTTTTAATGATAATTTTTTAAATATTATTATTAGATATTAAACTTATTAATAATGATTATACAAAACCTATCTTTATAAATAAACTTGTTATTATAGTTTTGTTTTCTTAATTCTTGTTTTTCTTTTTTCTCATTTCTTTTTCTTCTTCGCTTTGTGTTCCTCTTTCACTCTTTTGTGAAATGTCTTCCTTTACCATGAATGTCTCTAATACTCAACCTCATCTCAAAATTGAACTTCATCAAAATGACGTCTCTCGTCCTCTTTCTTTATTTCACGGAAATATATATTTTCCTTTATAATGTTTTTAACTTTTTTTTACTATGGAGAATAACACTAGAACAAAATATTCTAACAAGTAAATGATTCAATATACATTAGTGAAAATTCTCTTAGACAAGTCACATATGAAAGGTGAGTTGGAGATAAGCGTAACAAAATAAGTCAATTTGTCTCGTTTTAACTCATCATATCTCTAGTTCGCTAAAAATAGGATAAGACGGGTTAACTTGTCATAATCATAACAAACTACAAATCTCAATCAACACTACCAAAGGGCGGGTTGACTGGATTAACGGATCAATCCATCAAGTATATTTTTTAAAATAAAATATTTTTATAATATTTTAAAAAAATTGGTTTATCTATTAATTAATATTTCTATCATATATATTAAAAAGTTATTATATTTGTGTGTTAAAATACTTAATTATAATTAATAATTTAAGCTTATATGTTATGTTTTAAACTTAATTATTATTATCAAAGTTTTTAAAGTTTTGTAACTTTGGAGACATGAGAGGATTTCAAAGTTTTGTAACTTACATTAATATTTATGATTTTGTTATCTCAAACTTAATTATTATTATCAAAGTTTTATAACTCACATTATCATTTATGATTTTGATATTTTTAAACTTAATAATTATTAAATATACTTGTTTGTATATTTATAAATTTGACTTTTTACCTTTTTATATTTTTTATCTTTTTATATTTATTTATTATTTTCATCTTTTTATATTCATTTATTATTTATTGATAATATATTATGTAATCTTCTCAAGATTAATGATTAAATTCTAATTCTGTCAATTTCATAACTTTCAACTACCATTATAATAAATAATGATCATTATATCTTTTTTTTTACCATCTTTGTATCTCTTATATGTAATAGTGTATGTTTGACATCAACAATCAAATAATATAAAATTCATAAACGTATTTAAACATAATTTTCTAATCAAGGAATAAGAGATAAAATTAAAATGAGACTTTGTTCTCTATCTTTGAATGCAACATGTTCTGACAAAATTGGAAAGGAGTGAGATATGGTTTTTAGTTCTCTCGTACCCCTTTCGTTAGTGTCTAGTAAATAGTTAAAAATTATCTTTCCCTTTCAACTTTAAAGATATATATATATCTCGTTAGTGGTTGTTCATGTTCCTAAGTTTTAGGTTAGTGTCGTCTGTTATCTCGTGTGGTTGGTCACGTTGCTTAAGTTTTAAGTGAATGTATCGTGGGGAGTGGATGATGCAGTTGAGAAAAATTAGAATATGAATGTGTTTTTTACCCACTGATACCTAACCTTAACTATTTTAATGATTTACTAAAAATAGTTTATTAACCGACGTGTAGGATGACTCAAAATAAAACCGAAGTGTATCAATACAATTACTACATTAACAAACAAAGTTTGAGATCTTATTCAACTACGATAGCCGCATAAAGACAAAAAACTAATCATTTTGTTGTTAACGATTAGATTAAGTATTTTACACTACTTAAAAAAAAAAGCATAAATTACTTTTACAAGAACCTGTCGTGCCTCTGAAAAAATCTACATAATATTAATAATGATCTCAAATACTAGATACATGATAACTGATGATGTCTGAAAAATCAAAACTTTACAAGAAAGTGTAACTAACCACCTCCACTTCCATACATTGTTCCCTTTGAAACAGTGACTAAGAAGGAGCCATTTACTTATAGACGACACAAGCCATCTTTTTAATTTTCTATGAACAATTGAAACCAAATTAAGCTAAGAGTCCCTATCCATGCTTGTGATATGCAAAAGCATCAAACTTACATTGAAGTCCGAAGTAACATCAGATGGCATAGATTGGATTTATTTCTGAGTCATCAGAATTCGAAAGACGCCGCGTGTGTATTCCTCCCATCTTAGATTTCTTCTCTTTCTCTTTCTTCCTCTCTCTTCGGGCGCGTTTGGATTTGACCACATAGTATGTCATGGTACCAAGAACACCACTCATTACGATCCCCCCTACAACTGTAACAAGTATGGCAGCCCACTGGCTGTGTCGACCAACTACTATATAAGATGCTGTACTGAATGAAACAGAAGTGCATACAGAGGCTAACCACATCATCTTGTTGATCACCTCCACAACCTTTCTCTCGGTCTTTACCTCCCCCCTAACTAGGGTGATTTGAACCACCACCACTGCTAATGACGTAAATAGTGACAGGGCATTAGATATGAAGAAGGCTTTGAAAGGTGCAGAGTGTACCATCACTGCCATCCCATTATCATAATCCCCACCAGGAACTGTGAAGAGTGCTGCAAATGCGCCTGCTGCAAATAGCACAGCAACCACCGTTACTGAGTTGGCAGCATTGTTGACTCCATCCCTGTGCAACTTCCGTAGCTCATTTTCAATCCCACTTACATTCTTGTTTGTTTTTCTAGTTTGTTCCAGCTGAAAATAGACATCCTTCTTAATTTGTGTCATGGTTTTCCTTAGCTCATCCCTTGGTTGGTTGAGATCGTTGGCTTTGACTGTGCCATAACGAATCAGACAGTCTTTGATCTCTAGAATTTCTTCAGATATTGGAAGCCCCTCTGCAAGGTCTAGAGCTGTCTTGTTGTCTTTTGTCAAGGTATTTACGTTGGTGTCAGGAAGAAGTACCAGCTCATTCACTATCTGGATGAATGTTTGTATGTCATTAGTACAAACACATTCTTTTATATTAGAAAGAAAATCATGATAAATTCCTTGAAAAATGATTATATAGCTCCTGTTCAATGAAAAACTTCGTATGTAGTAAAAAAAGCGTTGCTAGCATTCTTCTTAAAATTAAAGGATATGAACATAACACAACTCATGGTATTACTACTATCAAACTAAGCCATTATATATGATACCTCTGTCCTCTTCTTCCTTGTGGCTATATGCAATGCAGTATTGCCAAACCTGTCAGGAAGCATGACAATGGCTACATCCGCAGCCAGAATGAGCTTCACCACTTCGCAACTAATCCCTTTGACAGCCATGTGTAGTGCAGTTTGTCCTTTCTTATCTGTCCTTCGAGCAAGTTGTGGATCCTTCCGTAGCAGTATCTTCACAACATCCACATGTCCCTGCCGTGCGGCTAAATGGAGAGCATTCTTTCCATTGGACCTTGTCATCTCCAACTGAGTAGGATCCCGAGACAACAACTCTTCAACAACATCCGCGTGCCCTCGTGTAGCTGCAGATATTAGAGGAGTTGCATTTGACTGCGCAAACGTCTTAATCAGCCCAGGCTCATGGTCTAGTAGCACCTGCACAATGGCTGCCACAATAAAATACACAGTTGTAATGTTACGTACACACATTCCCCTCAATCAAACATTTATTTCGTCATTCTTGATAAACTTCAATTCAAAATTATTTATCCAGTGAATTCTGGTGCTCTTAAGGCTCAATCAATGAAATTTTTTAATCAGTGTGCTTTGTTACCATATCAGATGTTGTTATTTCATACAATTTATTGAAAACTAAGTCGTGGAACCACACAAAAAATATGATTTTCAAATGTATCGAAAAAACAAATTAACAATTTCTCCTTTTAAATTTAAACTTCAATCTCAAAGCTAGTCTGATCATTTGAAGCCCTTTTTCTTTATTTTACATGACATTAATCCATCTGTGTTGAACTACCCATACAGTTTGTAATATTATTCTCAGAAACACCATAAGACATTACACTCTAGTTAAAGAAGAATATTAACTATATACAAGAAATTTTATAGTAGGGACGAAAATTCAAGAGGTTTAGTATTGATATTGAGAGTTTGATGTCTTCAAACTCATTTAACTATTGCTTTAGAATTTTTTTGTACCAAACCTTCAGAATATTCTTATTGGTAATGCAGATAGTTGGCAAGTTAAAACTCATTTAACATATTTGAACAAGGAAGAGACATGTTTGTCATACTCTCATTGGTTCAAAACGAAGGTTTCACGAACAATGAGAGCATGCCTGCGAGGTGTTAATATTATATAAAGTTTGTGGTACGTACCAAGATGACCTTTGCTAGCAGCAATGTGCAAGGTGTCAAAGCCGGAGCGGTTTTTGGAGGAAAGGGCTTCGCCGGTGGAGTGAGGGAGGAGCTCGCGGACGACGTCGAGGTGACCCTTTTCTGCGGCGGTGAAGAGAGCGGTTTCGCCGAGGTCGTTGACCTCGTTGATGATGGTGGACCTCATGTGGGCAACCTCGGCGTCGAACTCGAAGGACCCAATCATGATGGAGTCGATCTCGGCGATGATGTTGCGGACGGTGGCGAGGTCTCCGCGCTGGGCAGCGAGGTGGATCTCGGTGTCATTGTGGCGGCCGGTGACCTGTTTGACATATTTCTTGAGGGGGATGTCGAGGCGTTTGGCGGAGTTGGAGAGGAGAAGGAGGGACTTGTTGGAGTTGGAGAGAAGGAGGGCCTTCCCGGAGGTGGAGAGGAAGAAGGTGGGGCTCTGGGTGGTGGGGGTGGTGGGTTCGGAGAGAGGGACGTGAGGCTTACGATGATGGTGGTGGTGGTGGTGGCGAAGATGATGATGGTGATAATCCATGATCGCCCGCACCAACAACCAAGGTGGTGGGGGTGGCTACCCCATTCTACAATGCTCTCATCACTACAACACCGTCTCGATCGTGTTCGTTTTCGTTGCACCATAAGCGGAAACTCCCTTCACTAATATCGTTGGTTTGTTTGTTCGTTACTTTCTTCTTCTGTTTTAATCATCAATGACATTTTCTATTGTTTCTGCATTAGATGATATATGCACGTTTATTTGTGATTTTCATAGAAACTTTTTCACCATCGTATAATATAAATGTATGTTTTTTATGTAGAGTTTCTATTATCGATATTTAAATATTAATTTATCGTAATTTATAATTTATGTCCAATTATTGATACCAAAATCTAGTATATTTATAGATTAACAATCTATACGTTATTGAGTGTTTTGAGTTACTTGAGATTGTTTACATTTAATTAATGATTTTGTCGTTTGTGACAATAAAAACATAAGTTTACAACAGCATTTGGTGGATGTGGACTTCAGTTTTAACAAATGTCTGTTATATATAAGCAAAGAAAAAGAACAAAAAAACCGTTTAACCAACAGAGTGGCCCAAATAAAAAGAAAAGTCCATACTCAGGCCCAATCCGTTTTCACGTTTTTTTTTCAAAATCAATGCCAATATTACTTACTTCTGATTAACTAAATTTAAATCTCTTAAATAATGCTTCTTACTTAAATTTTTAGACAAAAAAAATGTGATTAAAAAAATCATTAAATATGAATTAACTAAATTCATGATAAAAATCAATAAATATTTCATATCTATAACTATAACATAAATTAAAATTTTCATTTTTATACTTTTTTCAATAATTGTTTACTATGAATGTTTTCTGTTTTCTTTATGTCTCTCTTTCCCGTCAACGTATATTTACCCCCGAAGGATATTGAAAAATCCTTCACGGATTGCTAGGCATGTGAACGGGGCGGGGCGGGGGTAGGTTTTGCCTCCCGATTCCCGCCTCGACTTTTTAACCATCCCCGTCCCGTCCCCGATCCCGCTGGGATTAGAAATTAAGTCTCCATTCCCGTCCTCGCTGGGTTTCGGTTCCCGCCTCGTCCCCGATTTATATTATTTTTAAAAAGATAATTACATTTATAATAAATTAATTTTTCTATCTATTTTTTATATATAAATAAATATTTATAATTTATAATTATTATTAATTAAATATACATTTTAATTTATTATATTTATATTAAAATATGTATGTAAAAGAAATATTTAATCATTTTTTATTTAAAATATTATTATTATTATAATACTGTATTCAAATATTTGAATATTTATAACACTATTATTATAATACTTGTATTCAAACATTTGATTATATATATAAGTTAATTCATTTTTAAGTTGTCATTTAAAAATATGAAATATATAGTTTATAAGGAAATATTTAATAAGTTAATTCTTATTCAATTAGTTCGAAGTAATAAAAATTTAAATTATCAATTCCTTTAATCCTTTAAAATACAATTATTTTATTAAGATAAAATTTGATATATGATAAATAAGAATAATAAGATAAAAAAAATATGACATAATAAAACCTAATAAATATAAATTATAAATAAAATAATATTAGTTACTACTAAGATTTATGTAAAATATTTAGAAAAAGATAAAGAATAAAAAAAAGTTAACTTTGTGTTCATCAAATTAGTTGAAAAGATTGAAAAAAAAATTGATGGGAGAGATTAAGGAGATGTGAAAAACTGAAAAGATAAAGAATAATGTAATAAATTAATTGATATAAAAGATTAAAAAAGAAAAAAAAAATTAAAAAGTGGGTAGAAAAAAAAATTGGTGAAATATAAAAAAATGACCTTATATGTAATAGAAAAGAAAAGGAAATACTTTTAAAATAATAATATTTTAAAATTTAAATTTAAATATAAAGTCGGGCGGGGACGGAGACGGGGTCGGGGTGGAGATTGCATTACCTATCCCGCGCCGCGCCCCCGACTTTTTAAAGCGGGAAAAACCCGCCCCCGTCCCCGGTTAACTCGGGTTTTTCCCGTCAAACTCGGGGCGGGAACGGGTCGGTCCCCCACGGGGACGAGTTTAATTGACATGGATTGCATTAGATTTCACAAAACACAATATATATTTTAAACAAAAAAAAATACTTCCTCAAAATCAGGGAAGATAACAAACCTTTTTTACTTCAATTGTACACAAATTTCTCTGCTTTAGTTTATACTAATCAAGTTTAACTATCAAGCTGGGGTCACCATCCAGAAATGCCTGAGGATTTTAAAGCCTTTTATTTTATTATAAAAAATGTTTTAAGACGTTTGAAGTTTGAACTGAAAAATAAGTTTGATACTACAAAAAAATATATTAAATGTGGAAAAGCTATTACAAAAAGGAATAAATAAATAAACTTGATGCACGATATACTAAGGAAACTGAAAATTCTATAAGCATACTTTTATCATTGAACAGAATGAATGGTGAACTTATTTGAGTATGGAGCAAATTCAAAATTCCAAAAAATTTTTACAAGTTCCACGGTTGGCGATTGAATTTAAAAACAAGGCTAAAAAAACAAACATATCCGCTTGATGGTTGGAAAAATTGCACCTTCAGTGGCTGAAAATATGATTGGAAAAGACCCGGTGTTATATAAAATTATTAAATCATTAGTTTGAAGAAAAAATAATACTCTTTGTGTCTTTGTGTGGACAATAAGCATTTATTAATCATAGATATCATGACGTAGAGGAAATATCTTAAACAATTATTAGTTCAACAAATTATATCCACATCTATAATTTTACACGTATAAAAGTTATTAAAAATATCATATTTGTTAGTATGATTACCAAGATGTTCATGCAGTTTGTTTTAGTGAGAATCTGGTTCTGAATATCTACATAACCCTAAAAGAACTTGTTGTCGCTTGAAAAAAAATAAAAAGTTAAAATGACTTTTCTTTTTGTAACGTTTTACACCTTTTTCAACATATTTATGTGAACGTAACCTTATAGTTTCGGTTTGGTGTGAAGGAATATAATGCCATTTCACATTCGAAATCATAACAAGTCAATAATATATACATATCTTTTAAATAAAATGAAAATCATATATTATGTATTAATGTTAATAATTTTTAAGATTTTGAAGTGACTAACCTATAAAAGGTTTTCCTTTAACGCAGTCCCTGATAATCATTATTATATTTTCTCATCAAAATCCTTATTAAGAAAATTTAATAAAAACACCATAATAATGAGAAGAAAAACAATCATTATGTCATCTGCAATCTGTTTACCCGTTACTTCAAATTGATACGTGTTTATTTTCTATTATTTATTTATTTATTTATTTATTTCCTCTTTAAATGGCAATCGCTATCGTAATAATGATTAATCACTATCTTCCTCAAGCCTGTGACTCAAAAATGTTTTCCATTGACAAAAAAGTTGTGGTTGTTGGACATTAAACTCTTTTACGCTTACGCACAATACCATTTTGCCTTTTGTAAAAAGAAAAAGAGCTGAATGACGTAGAAAAGAAAAATGAGAGGGAAAAATATAATTTAATTAATTCAAAAATAAGGGTTATATTTTTTTATCAAAAATTATTCAAACACTCGGTAATAAAAAATAAAATGGTAAAATTTTAAAAATGATATGAAATAGAAAAAGTGGACCGCTAGTTCCTATCAACGAATTTTCCTCTCACCTAACGCTTGAATGAAATGAACAAAAAATATGACAAAGACATTACAATTATACGTACATATAAAATACAAATATCAAAATAAAATAAAATAATAAAAATCACTTGTCAAATATAAAATTGTATTTAAATCCTAGATTAACGTGAATATATGTTGGAAGTCCCGGATCATGATATATCTCTTTACTATTGTTATTTTAGTATTATTTATTTTATTCCACCCACTTGAAAATTCACATTATCTATAGATATGGTTTATATACTGTTATTATTTCTGATATTTTCAATTAATTTATGTTGCATCCTTAATAATAATAATCGAAAGGTCTCACAAATATAAAAATAAAATATCACTGCTGCACACTTCAATTTTGGTACAAAGAATGAAAAAAGTGAGATATAAATCAATTTAAAAAAATATGGAGGATTATGATAAATAATGTGATGGAAAAGGGAAAGCTAAAAGTAACTTAATTGAGATACACACACCTGTAATAATAATTATTTCAGAGATCATATTCAAGATTATTTCTATTCACCTGATAGTGTAAGAAACGTTACGTAACTTGGTTTTCATATAAATAGAGTGAAAAAAAAAAAGATAAAAACATCAAATTTCCATGTTCGAGAGGCAAAGCTATTTTTAAGGTATTCTCTAGAAGAAAAAAAGTTTCTCTCTTAAATTAGAACGAAATGGCAAAAAGAAAATGATTTCTCAATCTTATTTTACCAATAAACTTTTATAAGATAAAGATTTAAAAATATAATAAAAGAAATTAAATGTCGAAAATCATTTTTTATTATTATAAAAAATATATATAGTTCATTTATTCGAATTGCTTTCTTTTTCACTTGTCGGTCTTAACATCATTTATTTTTCTTTGTAATCGTTTTACTATATTTTTCTATCACTGTTTCTGGTGGAATTTTGATCGATTTCGATTCTAAGGGTGTTTTGGTCCTAATCAAAAATCTACCACGTAAGTTCTTTTTACTTAGGCTAGCAGTCTGACTTTCAATCGAAAACGTATATGAGAATCGAAAATCATAAGATATCAAGAAAGCTGTTTTTGGTGTTTTGTCTTTAAAATATCGAAAACAATAAAGTATCGAATCGAAAAAGTCTGAATATTAAATTGCGAGGAAATGTAAAGTGCGAAAACCCCAAACTTGCATTAATTGTAAATGACAAGGAATCGAAAAATAGTGCAAATATAAATGGCGGAAATCGAAATGTGCAGGAAATGTAAATGACAATAAATCGAAAATACGAAACTTAAACTTTCATTGA